GGGGAAACAGGTAACTGTTAAATCAACACGAAGCTTCCACAAACGTAACACGTCTGCAAGACTGAGTACAGACTGAGTGTAAGTACCACATGCAGAACATTTAAATTATCTCTAATTGCTGCCTACCCTCGGGCGCAGAATTCTCTTGGTAAGTTCAGAGCTGCACAGCATAAGTGGAACTGCTCTTTTCCAGCAGCGCCCCACAACTATCTGGATTTATGGGCGAGTGCCGGTTCAGACTTTCAAGGCGATCACCATGTACCGGGAAGCTTTTTGCAGCAATACTCTTGCCTGTGTGACCACAGAGCGATCTGAAACCTGACCGTACGTCTCGTATCTCCCTCTGGGTATGACTGCCTCCGGATGTTAAGCTTTTACTTGGCTGTTTAGGGCGCTTGTTTTTAAAAGAGTTTGTCCACTTCGGTTAATCCCACATTGCCTTTTAGAAAGCAACAGCCATACCTGCCTGCTGACTAACACGATGGCTCGGGCCAGACTTTAGACAACTCTCTAACGACACAACACCCCACCCTGCTCTACTGAAGGGGCTGCTGGCCTAGGGGGAGTTTTTTGGTTCGCTATGTCCTCCCTTGATGAACAGAATCTCGAAAGCGTGTGTGCCCGTCTACGGTGATCGGGCAGAAAGGCTGCGCGCCGCGGACACCGCCAGGAGCGGGTCTCCAACAGCAGCAGCACGGCCGGCGCCGGCAGCTCCGCGGGGGGAGGCGGTGCCCGGCTCCCCCCACCCCGCCGCTGACGGTCCCGGCAGCCCCGCCCCGCGGGGGGTGCGGGCAACGGGCCTCGGGCCTGCCAATCACGGGCAACACCGCCCGACCCACCCGGTACCGCCGTGACCTCGGGGGCTGCGGCAGCTCCGCCCCCTCCTCACCGCCCCACCATGGCCGAGGAGGCACTTACCGTCCCGGGACGTGCCCATGAGCTGGTCCAGCATGGCGCGCATCTGGGCCTGCGCCGACATCTTGAGCGCGGGGGGGGCCGGCGCGGCCCGGCCGAGTCACGCCGACAGCGGCCTACAAGGCCCGAGGCGCGGCGGGCGCTCGGCCCTGCCCCTCGCGTCACGGGCGGGGCCGCTCCCCCGCCGCCGCGGAGGGAGGAGGGAGCGGGTGCTGTCCCCGCCCGGTTTTCCCGGCGGGAAGCAGAGCGGGAAGCTCGCTCGGTGCGGGCCCGGTGCCGCCGCACGCCGCCTTACTCCGCTCCCTCCCGCGCCCGCCACGCGCGCGCGCCGGCGGGAACGGAAACCCACGCGCACGCGCCTTGCGCCGCTTCGTCCGCTCCGCGACGTCAGCACGGACGGGCCTCGGCGCTCTCCCATTGGCCACGGCCTGCGCCGCTCGGCCGGTGACGCACCGCGCGGCGAGGCTCCTGATTGGGCCGCCGGGCAGGGCCCTTTGGGCGCGCTGATTGGCCGGGAAGGCGCGCGTGGCCGGTGTGACGCCACGGTCTCCGGGCCAGCGGCGGCGCCGGGCGGGGCCCGGGCGGCCCCGGGGACACAGCGCCCGTCTGGGGACAGCGCCCGTTTGGGGACAGCTCCCTCTGGTTCTGACCTGCAGCACCACTGCAACGGCCCCGGCTCCTCTCCAGTGCCGGGCACGGTCCTGCTGAGGCAAGTTACTGTAATACCCCGCTAACTGGAGAACCTCTCTTAAAATTGAGGCTATCGGCACGTGTGGCTGATAATTCAATTTACAGGGCACCAAGATCCATTAAATTAAACAAACAAACAAACAAAGCCCAAAAAACCAAACCAAACCAAAACAAAAACCCAACGATTTTTACCTATTCTAATATCTGTATTTTGTGACTCTTCCTTTGTCAACCGTCGTGTTGCCATCTAGTGCCCAAAACCTGTCACAAAGATCAGTTCTAATCGTCCACAAGAGCTGTCGTGTGAAAGGTTAGCTCCATACGAGTGAAAAAGGGCAACACGCAACCTCCCCTAACAATAACCCCCTCACCCCAATTATTTGTATTTCAGAAGGACTTGCAGAGAAGATGCTCTTCTGTAACACATTTAGGAAAAGATTGCCTACCCAGTGCTCTTCTGCTAATTAGAATATGTCCTAGCTTTAATTTTTCTTTAAAAATCTAAATTTACTTTTGTTAGTCATCACGTTGGATTGAAGGGGAAGTAAATGGAAGAGACACCACTGCTTGTTAGAACTGTCTGTTAAGTACCTTGGTATGCTTAGGGGAAATAGAGGAATTTACACTAACATCATATACACTTTAGTTCCTTCTACTCTCTAAAGAGCATCTGTGTTTGGCCAAATTATTGCTTTTTAAAATTTCTTTTTATTTTCTTATTTCCCTTCTCAAGCAATATACTATAGAATGCAGCAATTTTCATTAAATAATCCTGAATAAGAAGTGTGTCACAGCTATTCCCAGTGAGTGGTGACATCCCACAACTCTCATCTACTGAGCTGATAATAGGTTGATACTTTTCCACCTGTTATATCAAGGCTTTTCAAAAAAACCCACCATTTAACTAGTGAGACACTGTGAGACTTGCAAACTGGAATTCTGGTCAACAGAACTCTAAAACTTGTAGTTCACATCACCTTGCCTTAACTAAGCAGACCAAATTTTCCCTGTTTTAAGGATCTGTTGTGCCACTCCACTATACTGTGGGGATTAAACCAACCCAGAGTTTTAAATACAGGGGAAGGAAGAAGTAGACTTAGATGAGCTGATTCTCTTTGCAAAGCTTTTCTGACAGAACACTTTGTTTTCCCTGGCAGTAAAAAAACCCCAACAAACACACTCTAATTTTCTTAGAGTTGTTTCAGTCTTCTCCCCAGGTAAACCTCATATTTTTAGCCATTTAAAGTCATTGTTGTTATAACTTTCTTACATATCTTGCACACAATTCAACACTCTCCTGTGAACAGCAACAACTCAAGATCTTTTATAGAAAGAAACTCGTCACTCCAGATTTGTGAGATGAAGGAGAAAACACAGTCCTGTTTGTGTACCTCGTGTGACTGGCTACAGTCAGTTCCCCTCAGCTCTTCTGAGGTTCAGATGGTGAGGGCAGCACAGGAAGCTGGCTGTGAAGTCGACTTCTCAAGGACACAGAGAAACATGTAACTCAGTAAAAATTCATCTCTCTGAATCACCACTGCTCACTCACCGCCACGGTAAAAACCAAAAACATCTTTAAGGTGGAAGGGGTTTGTGCTACTGCAGTGCTCGCCAGAATCCACAGATGCTCCACAGAAGACACCTTTGTTCTTGGGAGAGTAGGGAATGCCACATACACAAAATGCGGCTGGAAAGTGCTACAGTAAACACTGGACAAATTCTCTCACCTACGGCTTTTGAATCCCGTGGGGGAACCACGAACCCCTGCGACCCTGCAGACAAGCAGTTCATCAGTGAAGGCTGACATGTTTTTCCACTACAACCACCCCTCTCTGTCAACCCCTGGAAGGGCGCCCATCATAACACACATTCACAAGGACGGGATGGGCGTCAGGGAAGCCTAATAAAGGGAGAGGGGCTTGGTTGTCTCCAATTACGGCTTTCACACCATAACCTAAAAATGACAAAAGGCACCTGCTAGAGAATCCGGCCCATTCCAGTAGCTCTAGGATATTTATTTATTGAGGAATAACCATGGGACACAGCAGTCCGGTCTCAGCCTTTCCCTCCCGGCTGCTGAGGCAGTCTGAAGCCCACCAGCCCGGCGACCTCCTGAGGCGAGCGCTCGCCCCTGCCGTGGTACTCGCGGTGCAGGGCCTCGTGCTCCCGGACGCTGCGGAGCAGGCACAGGTAGGTGGCGGCCTGGAAGTGCAGCTCCTGCTGGGCCCGGCACAGCTTCTCGCTGGTCACCTGCGGGGAGCGGCGGTCAGGGCGGCTCCGAGGGCTCGCCGAGCCCCGGGGGCTGCGGGGGCGGGACGGGGGATGCGGCGCGTACCCGGTGCGCGCGGAAGGCCGCGAGCACGTGCCGATAGGCGGGGCTGTCGCGATAGGAGCGGCCGGCGGCGTGGCGCAGCTCGCGCAGGAGCGCGCGCAGGGTGCGCAGCGGGGCTCCCGGGGCCGCCATCTTCCGAGCCGCGCGCGGGCGCGCCGGCCAATCGAGCGCCGCCGCCGGGCCTCGCCCTCGCGCCCCGGCAGTGCGGGCAGTCGAGCGCCGAGCGAACGATCGCCTCCTTCGGCTCTCCGCCGCCCTCCCCCGCCGCCGTAAGCGGCGCGGGCCCAGTGTTGGGGGGCGAGCGCCGAGGCCGGGGCGTGCCCGCTGCGCGTCTCGCGCTGGGCTCTAAGCGTCGTAGCCGGCCTGTGGTAACGGAGCGTGAGCACAGGAGCCGTCCGAGAGGGCGGGAATCGTGCGGCGGGAAACTGGCTTGGGCCGGGGCGCGTCCCTGCCAGTTTCTGGGGTGTCCGGTTTAAAAGGCGCTTCGGGTCCCGCTGGAGCCAGAAGGGGACGCCCAAGACGAAGCGTAGGACCGCAGACCCGGCGCAGCCCCGTTGGCTTACAGGATTGTGTGAGAGACGGCGCGGCTCGAGTGCGGAGGAAAAAAAATGCCCACCCCAGATGGGACTCGAACCCACAATCCCTGGCTTAGGAGGCCAATGCCTTATCCATTAGGCCACTGGGGCTGCCGCGAGAAGGTGCGGTCTATGTACTTACTTATCTGCTGTCCCCGCCCCCTTTCTTTTACGGCACGTTTCGGAGGTCGGTGATTGGGCTGCCGCGCAGTCCCCTGGGAGCCGGGGCCAGGCGGGGCCGCGATCCCTCAATGGCGTTGCGAGGCTGCGCATTGGAAAAACGCGCTGTTCACAGAGGGAAGCGCTCCCTTCCATACCGGCTCTTTGCCGGTTTCTAAACTCTGGTCGTCACACACAATGTTACCCTTGCTCGGCAGGTTCCCCTGACTGAAGGAGGCCCCCACCCCAAAATCAGAAAAACCCGACAAAAAGCCCCAAGAGGGCCAACCCTTCATTTTTATTTTTGTGAGAAATCACAGACACAAGGCTAATATGTACATTCCTCTTTATTTAATACAGCACAGACACGTGACACATAAAAAACAGAAAAGTACACTCATGAAAAAGCCTGTCGCAGTCAGGGACAGGGAACAGCTACGCCAAATTGAGTAAGGCTCCTACTGCAGAACAGGGGTCTGCCGGCAAGGGTGGATCCCAGAGCAAAGTCTGCTGCCAAAAAAAGCTTGCGCTCCTTTCAGGAAAGCAGAAAAGGGCAAGTCCCTTCTGAACAGGTGAAGGCAGCGTTACCCACAAGGTTTGCAGGATACGAACCCCATGACTGTGTTTGGATCCGAGCACTGATAAAAGTGAAATGCTCTCCAGTTACTCTCACAGAGGGCCAATAATCCTGACCTCTGAAAGCATTGGACTGCTCAGGGATAGGAAACCTGAGTACCTGGAAGGAGTGAAAACGTCAAGTAGTAACATAGAAGAGAGTTAAAATTAGCCTCCCTGACAGGGCTCTGCTAGCCACAACTGGGAATGTGCAGGGAACTAACCAGCTTCCCAACTAACAAAAGACTAACAGCCATTAAACTGTCCCATATAGCCATTGGAACTGACGCAGGCTTTTGAGGCAGCAGCTTCTTCCTGTTCCTGCTTCAGTTCAGGATGGAGATAAAGCAGGCACCAGTTCCTCTGGCAAAGAGCCTTACACACTTTTAAAAAATTAAAATACAAAAAAAGGGAGACAGGTGTATTTACAAAATCCATGGCTGGTACAGTACATCATTTTTAAGACACACTAAATGCTACAATCTTTCAGGTCCTGAGATTATTACAAAGAAAAAAAAAAAAACAAACCAAACCAAGAACAAACCCCAACAACTCAAAAGTTGTGTTCAGGTCCAGTTTTATAAGGAGAGAGGAAAGAAACCACACATTTAAAACACAGTATACCTTGAAGTTATTGGAACACACCTCCCTAAAAAATCCAAATGAAAGTGGCGCTTACCACCCAAATGTAGCTGCATTTTGTTGCTCAGGCTTGTTGTCACATGAGGGGAGCATTTCATGGGGCAGTTTCCCTGGAGAGCTCATCAGGTAAGCACAAAGCTGTTGGGATCCTCTCTCCATCGCTAAGCCCTATGACCCGGAATGTGCGAGTGTTCACAGGAGGAAGGTGACTTTGTACAAATTCATGCTGGACTGAGGACAGCATCACAGGAATCACCAACTCAAACAGGTTTGCCATCTCATAGTAACTCTGCACTCCTTTGTTTGAAGCCAAAGAATGCAAAGAATTCTAGCTGTGATTTAAGACGTGTTAATAACATTAAAAAAAAAAAAAAAATTCCTCCAGCTTTTTGTTCTGAGCTCCTCAGTGAAAGGCAGTAAAATAGTTTCTCAGCCCTTCATTGTCTGGGGGATCACAGCAAGTCAGATAGTTAAACTGGTTATATCCAAACTTGCTAACATATATTATATATATATTAAAAGTTACACCAAACAAAGGATATGGAGGCCAAACTGCTGTTGAGGGGATATTCCCCACTGCCATTAGCTGCGCAGGGCACTCGTCACTGACCCTCTTTTAACAGGCAGGCCTAAAGGGACTTGCACCCTCACCTGATTTTTTGCCCCCAGTGAAGTATTCTGAACATAGAGATTTTATATCACCAGAAGATATCAGCACAGATGCCTTTTTATTATACGCACCTGACCTTAAGCTAGAGAATGGCAACTTTTTAAGGATTACTCATTAAATGCTGCTAACTCTCAGTAAAAGACTACAAGAGACAAATCACATTAACAAGGATACTAGTTTAACTGCTAAAATATAGCGCTCCTCAGTAGACTTTTTGGGGGTAAAAAGTAGTAATTTTGTTGTTTTTTTTTTTTAAACAGTAGTCCAAAAATAAAATTTTTCCATCTATTTCCAGTACAGATCTTGATAACTATGCAAGAACATGGTACTAATTGCTACATGATGGAATCACCAGCAATAAAACACATACTACAATTCTCACCTCTGAGCTAAATTGTTATTTGTAGTCACATACAACAAGACTAAAAGACCAGTGAGAAATACCTGGGGACTGGGATTTAGTTTTTATTTAGCTGGTAACTCCCCTTGTTTAGAAGCAACTTCATATCAGTTAGAAATTAATTTAATTCACTTCACATGCTGGAAAGAAACCTGGGATGTCTCAAGAGTTTCTTCCCAAATCCAACCTGTACATTAAAAAACATTTTTCCAGCTTCCTAATCCAATTGTGAGAGCTGAATATTCTATAAAACTCTCAGACTAAAACCTGTCACAAGAAGTGATTTTAGCTTCCCTCTCAAGCAACTTTTTGACACTTGACATTACATGTTGCACCAGTGAAAGGGTTTCTTTTTTAAAATAAGTTTTTTTTTTTTTTTTCATGTTAGCAAAAAGTTCTGCATTACAGACATTCAAAAATACTCAATTTTCTTTGGGTAAAATTTCAATATTAGCTGGGGTAGCTGGGGAAAGGAATGCATGTAACACTGAAACACGTAAATACTTATCTGCATAGTTGATATTAGTGACTAACAAACTAAGGCCTTAGCTGGAAAAAGCTGAGAACACAAAAAGTTTCTTCCCCCACTCTGGTGAAATCTGCTCAGTCTCAATGAAGCTCTGTCTACCTCAGCAACTGCTCAGTTTGGTCTATGATAGTGGCATCTTCTGACTGGTTTTGGTTGATTCTCCCACTCTTTTGCTCTTGGTACTAGACAATAGCAAATATGACTATTGATAAAATGCATCTGCACACATTGCTAGGAAGAAACAAAAACCCTTTTAGTATTGCACATGATAGGAGCCAAATACAGTGTATATTGCTTGGTTGGGATTACTTCACCATAAAGAAAAACTTAGTAGTGAATGGTTGTTGTTTAAGTAGGAGGTGACAGCAATGGCAGAGACTGATACACGCTTCTAAATACAAAACATGGTGATGGCTGGGGTAGAACTACAGCTGTCAAAAATGGCTACAAAAGACAGGCCTATATCTGTGACTACTGACAACAGCAGTTTTACTTATGAGTGTGCAAAATCAGTTGCAGGGAATCTTTGTACTTCCCCAGTTTTGGGCCAATTCCAGGTCATGTTGATCTCTCAGCATAACTCTCAGCGGCACCAGGGCTTTCTAGAGCCCCAAAAGGCTATTACAGCAGCAAGGGATCACTGCATGATAGAAAAAGGATGATGAACCCTCACCAGAAGTTTTCACAAACAAAGTATTTCCCTACACAACAGTTATTTTTCCAGTAGCCCAGTAAGCATACTTCTGGCTGATTATTTTGGCAGTGATTTCTTAAGCAGTAGACAGACACAGATTTTTTACCACAGCTGCATTTGTTAAAGACTGCAACAGTCAGCCATCATCACCAGCTGTAGATTCCTCATCCCACATATCAGCCCAAGATCAAGAGCATGTGTGTTCAAAAGGAATTAAACAACGTAATTGGTGAATGTGGTAAACTTCACTGAAGTAACTTCACTGATGCACCTAAGACAGATGAAGGAGCACCCTCAACTACCACTCCAGCTGGCTGAGCTACCAGCAATAATCCTATCTTTGACTGGCACCATTAGATTGGTAGGAAAAATCCGCTTATGGCATAGTTTGCGTAACAGGTTAACTCAAACATGTGAAGACGAGCCAAGAACTGAGGCCATTCTCTGCCAGGAATGTATTTGGTACCATATTTTCTGGTTTCCACACTGGTTCTCCACCCATGAAGGACTCCTCATTCCATTCCAACTCTGCAACATAAATGTTTCCTTTTCATATTGCAACTCAAAATTAGATCTTCCCTAGGGGAAGCACATCACTAGAACTACAACAGTCTAGTGATGCATATGCATGTTACCTTAAGTTTGGCACTTGGTCCACAAGTGAATTGCTAATTTCAGGTATTCATGCTTATAATAATCATAAGTTAGATAGATCCTCAAGCACAAAGCTGTTAAAATCAGTAGATCATCTATTGCAGATAGCCAATTTTGTCTGAGAAGAAGGAAACAAGCACAGATACTATTATGAGGGTTTATCTGCAGCTAAGAACACATGAACTTACTGTTCATTATAGTAAGAGAAGAAACCACTAATGAAATCTCAACAAACTGAGAAGTAGTACAACTTGAAAAGTACGCCATGACGTCATGGTGAATGACTTAGGCAGCATGTGAACCACAGCAAGCTTTAAACTCCATTAGCGCCTGCACTCTTGCAGGTTTTGCCTTATTCTTTCTTACATAGGATGCTTGGTGGAAAGTGACAACTTTGGTAAATGTGAGAATCCTTGCAGTAACTGGTATAAAGTAGATGTGACCAGCTGCACACAAGATTCTTGCAGTTAATCTCAATTAAAATATGTTGCTAGCTGCTATTTTAACTTTATTTACCTCCCAGCTCCTTGGGGCTGTCAGCCACACATCTCTGCCTCAGACTCAGTGATTGTGTGAAGCAGTCCAGTAATTAAGGTTGCCAAACAGGGCCCATAATATTTTACTTGTGATCTAATTAAGAAACCAATTCAGAAACTTCAGAGAAAAATGCAACAAGTTTCATTCCTGTTAGCCACTTCCTTTCTCTCATGCACTTTTACACACACTCATGCACACACTCTTTTATTGTACTGTCGTCTTTGCACAAATGTTCAACCTTGAAGTAGTATTTAACAGAGCCAGGAGAATGGAGAAGGATGAACAGGTTTCAGGAATATTGCTTGTGTGTGTGTGCACGTGTGTGTGTGAGAGAGAGAATGCACAAGGACACAGAACCAATGCCACAGTACAGCAGCTGTGAAGTTACATACAATACACACGTGATTTTGTTTTTTTTCCTTTACAAAAGGGAGAAAAACCCCAGTTTAACAGCATAATGCCATCTTGGCAAGCTTAAGATTTTCCTCCAAAATGCTTTCCAGCACTTCAGGATCGCTGAGAAAAGTTTAAAGAGGGTAGGGAAATAAAATTAAAAAAAAAAAAAAAAAAAAAAAGGCACTTAAACAAAGGACAAAGGCCTGAATCAAGTAAGTCATGAAGGGTAACAGCCATTTCACCAGAGCTTGGACAAATCTAAGTCTAGCAACCTTCTTAAGAATTTCTATAAAATTAAAATTGCATATAAGTGTTAATGAATTAGTTGTTTGCCTAATGCTTTAACCTTCTGGTTCATTTTATGGAAAAAAAACCAAAAACAAAACAACTAACAAGCCCAAACAAAAAACCCAAGTGTCCCTTTAATGATTTTCCCCCAGTTCAGCAAAAGATGAAAGTTAGGTATGGGAAAAAGCCTTCCTCAGTTTGGTTTGGCTGTAGATTTTCCCTGCAATGCCATCTTCAAAAAAAATCCAGAACAAAAGCAGAAGAGGGACCACTGTGCTTTCACCAATTCACTCAAAAACAAACAAACAAAAAAATTGAAACAAAAAACCCATCAACCCAAACACTTCTAATCCAACTGTGGGCAAAAGCTAATCAAAATAAAACAAAAAAACCCCTGTAAACTAGATTAAAATTTGCTAATAAATACAGCCAAAAGTTCATTTTACAAATGTAGCAGCAAATGTGATAAAGTTAGTTGGAGTCCAAGGTGACTCCCAGAGGGTTACTGGTTCGCACAATTGATGGCAGCTTGGGAGAGTTGCAGATTTCTCTGTTTTCATGTCCTCAAGGGTCTTGCACCAAGTGGAGAAGGAGTGTGGAGGAAGGGTCAGGTGATGGGACTGCAGGAAGGAACAGGCTTTTAGCACCTGTCCCACCCCTAAATCCATGCATAAGACAACTTTTATCAGATTCAAACACAAAGCAGAACCCAAGTAATTTAAAAGTTTCTTCTGATTAGCAGAAAACAGATGTGAAACCCACAGCATCCGCACTTGTGACTCAGTTGATCAGTATTTAGACATGTTTCTCAAATCAACAGAGAAGGCTGGACAGAGTGACTTAGGCCATTTGTGTCTTGGAATGGGCGAACACTGCAGTTATAGTCCAAGGTATCAGGAAACTCTGCAGCCTGTTTTTCATCTTGCCTGCCCTCTTTCTTTGCAAGAGTCTCAAATAATTTCAAATAGCTACCATGGTTTTTGGGACTTTGGGTCATGTAGCAGGGAATACTACCCAGACAGTTTCAACATCTAAAACCTATGTTTGAAGTTATTGCTTGCATTTGTTTGGGGCTTTCAGAGAGCTTGACACGCTAGCTCGTATACAGTCCCCAAACCAAGTTCAGCCCTGCTGCCTGAAAAGACAGCTCTACTTGGCTTTCTTATTGCTTGTGAATACTGAGGGTTTATTTAGTATGTACAACTACAGTTTATTTATTAACAAAGGCCCTTAAAAAGTAGTAAAAACTTGGGGGGGGGAAATGTCTTCAGAAGAGCTGCTGTGCAGAAAATAGTAAAACATTACCCTAATTTTGCATTCAAATGTTGCAGTAATCTTTCCCATTCTGTCTATGTTTCCTGCAAAGGTCTCTGGGAACCACCCTATTACATCCTTTGATTTGACCTTGCTAGGTTTAACCAAGGACAATAGAAAACAGCAAGTAAAGGGTCCCCATCCCCAATGCCGTTCATTGAAAAGATGCTCAGGAGCATAATGACTAACAGGAGTATAATGACTGAAAAGAGTTACCTGCTGGGGGGGTTGTTTGAACTGATGTCACAAACAATGTATGGTCATCTTTATTTTCATCATCCTAGTATCTATTTCCACAGTAAGTATTAGGTTACTTGTTTCCCAAGACTGAGAAGCTCAACAGGACACAGAGGTAGGACTACTCCTACCCTTAACATTTAGAGAGGATATTCTTCACCTGAAGATGAAGCATACTTCTAGGAAGAAATGAATGTTGAAAGGGAATTTGTGCTGTAGTCATAAAGGGCTCCAAGTCTCCCAGTCTAAAATTTCAGTAAGTATGAAGACAAAAGATGACAATTTGAATGGGATGCCTTGATGAGGAAAACACAGAAGAGGTAGAACTCTCTTAGGACAGGGTCCTTTAAATATATTGCTGCCCAATGGCTCACTGCCACAACTCCCCTAGCTACATGCATTGTTCAGGTTTGACACAGTTCAGAGAATTAACATCCTATCAGAACTGTTTGGCCTCAAAAAGCAAAAGTTGGCTTCCTTCAACCCTTCCTGGAGAAAAGAAAAAAATATCAGATGAAGCTTGCACTCTAAATAGTTGATGGTATTTTGAAAGAATTTGTGCAGTATTAATGCCAGGGTCTACACAGCGTTTGTGTTTCAACTCTAAACCTCAATGGAGATGCAAGCTTATCTGATCAACACATCACATACAAAACATTAGCACCAGCTAAAAAGCATTTAACTGGCAGATGCTGTGGAGTGAAACTAATGAACTAATGCATCTTAATTCAATCTGTCTTTCACAGAAGTGTTGTGCAAAAACATTTATTGCTGAGCTCAACCCAACATTTTTATACTAAATACACAATATATATTATTTTAAATTTATGTATATATATTTATATAAAATTAAAATGAGCTCTAAATAGAAAAGAAATTGTTGTCTGATCTAAGAAAAATAAATCACATGTAAAAGAAACCTGCAAGCTCTAAGTAATCTAGCAAAATACACTGAAGAGCCATTATTCAGGGGTCAAAGTCTCTCTAAAGGTGTGAGATAACCAGTAGTGTCTGGTTCAGCCTCATGTCAAACTACCAGAAAAACTATCTGCTAAGAATTTCAGCATCTCTGGTCAAAGGAATGTTTCAGGTTTAAAGAAGAAGGGCATTATACTGATTTATTTGCTCCTTTTCCCTATGACTTATTTTAGTTTCTGCCATTCTCACCTTTCATCTGACAGCTCAAGGGACACAACAGCAAACTTCTGTGCTAGTGTCAAAAGTGCAACACGTGCTGGATGCTTCCTAATCTTACATGTGAACCAGTTGATGTATTATTATCAAAGAAAAAAAAAAAAACAACAAAGCAAGTTCTGAAGTCCTGTGCTGCTATGTAAGAAAGAGTTCAGGTCAAACTCCCCAGGCCAGCAGGGGCTGGAAATGCTGGAGACAACCCATTCAGCCCCCAGAAGAGAAGGCACCTCTGGTCGCTTTTGAACGACTCCTCTTTGGCTAATGCCTGAAGCAGTATTAATCTGACTCTGGAATAGGTCACAATCGGCTTACTTTAACTAGCAAATCAATATAATGCATGGCTTCTGGGAGGAGTTAGATAAAAGATGAAGCCTTAGAATGAGAAAAGAACTGGTTGTGGTTTATGAAAGACATGAAGAGAGTATCTTTCCAGTAGCAAATAAGCACAAGGTAAAGAATGTTTAACAAATGGAAATATTGAAACATTAGCGCGATTTAAAAAAAAAAGTGGGAAAATGCTAGTCTGACCAATAAAATGTGGGTTTCTTTTCATGTTAATGAATTTCTATCCCCTTCCTCCCTTAAATAAGAACTTTTGTACTTTAAAAAACCCTGAAAATAAATCAAATCGTCTGTGTCTTACATATTGATGTACCAGGAGATCTGTTTTTGAAGACAACTCTCTATTGAGACTGCATACATCTGTAGGCTCCCTAAAGTGAAACAGCCTTCAAAAGCTGGATAAATGCCCATTATCAGAAACTGCTTTTGTCTAAAGGTTTAATTGTAATGCAAAGTATCCCAGCACCATCTCTATTCTACATAACCTTTGGTCCACAACCATATAGTACACTCAGGACCTACACATACTGGGCACTTTGGGCACTAAGGAAGTGGATGATTCCACTTTATGCAATGAATGGAGAAACCTATTCTAGCACCTTTCACCATTTCCACTTTCCATTGTACTTCATCCAGAAATAAAATGTTGGTGCTGCTGTGGGTTTGACGATCAATTTCTTTTAAGAGCCAATCAGAGCAGATAAAAAAGGTTGTTTCTTTAGGCAATACCAAACTATGACCAGTCTGCATGACCAGGAGGACCAGTCCTCCTTTTCCTTCTCTCTTTGATCAAGTATTGTTTTATTTTTCTTCTTCCTCTCACCACAGTGCTTAGGATCAGAATATGTAAACATTGACAGAAACAGCAGCCCTGTGACAATAAGCACTTTCCCAACTGGGCAGATTCTGTCAGCCAACCAGAACTGCTTCAGCTCCCTTGCTTGTCCAGAAGTCACTGGTTTTTCCGCTGTAACTTAGTGTCCCCTTTACTTTGGCCTCCATCTGTAGTTGAGAGACAGAAACAAAAGGGAAGAATAAAAGCATGAGTGAACTTTTGTTTTTGTAACTGACAGGAGGAGAGACAGGAATTTGGCAGGTTCAGCTTTAGCATTACCGAAAAGTACATTGTCTTTACCAAGCGGAAGACTTTGCATCTTTTTCTGTAGTTCTTTTATTAGAAATAGCATTGTTGAAACCTGATATATCAAGCTTCATACCAAAACACTGCCCAGTTTTTTGGTACTGAGAACTCTCAAATAATGAATGAAGAATGCCCACCAAGCTGCTGCCACCCTTCCCATTCCTTCTCCTGGCCCCCAGAAAACACATACAGGTGACAAAGAAAGGTGTACACTCTAAACTGCACTTTCTAAAGCTTTCTGAAAATTTTCCTGCTCTAAGCCTCACCAAACAGAAAAAGAAAGTGCTCTGCTTCAAGTTTCTCTTCTTAATTAAAATATCTCCTATCAAGCATCAAACTCCTAAGGAATGCAGACATTCCATTAAGAAACCATCCCAGCATTCACACGTGAATATAGTCTTATAAGAAACATGAAGAAAGCTTTTAGCTAGAAGGTCTCCTTCAAAGGGGAAAGGAAAATTCTTAGTGGAAAAAAACTTTATGCAGCCTATCAACAATCATGTTAGTGTCCAGTAAGTACTATTCCTTTTTCCCCACTAGTTGAATTTGTACAGTTCAGTTTCTAGAATTGTTGCAGCAAAGTAGTGGAATTTTTTATATATTTTTTTTTGTTGTTCCTGACATTGAATAGAAGTAAGGAAAAAAAATCATTCAGGTTCCAAAAATACTACTACCATAGAATAAGTTCTGCCAGCTGCTCCCAAAGTTTGTCCCTGTGTTGTGTCTTCTCTAAACTAAGTACTGGTGTACATTATATTTCAGTCGAAGGCAGAAATCTGACTTTTAAGTTAAAAATAAATAATAAGAAATATATCATGTCTTTACCTGTGTAAGCTTGCTGCAAGTGAGCAGGCAGAGGTGAGTGAGACAGTGTTGCTGCATGCTGAGCACCTGGCTGTAAACCCTTCAGTAAGTCTGTGGGAAAAAAAGGGAGAGCAAAGATAAAAAATAGATCTTGAGGACAGAGGCAGTCTCTGTGAAATAAATTTTTGTTTTTATAGTGTAGCTGTAGTAGCAGGCTTATCTTCACAACAAAGAATAAATACCTGATAGCATTCTGATGGCTGGAATAAGTCAAAGACAAACCTATGCAAATATAGTTAGTCAATAGCCAGAGCAAGGACCATGCCTTACTACTGGGATGCAACTCTTCAAATAATTTGGTTTGGCAGAAAGACCAACATTTTATATGGATTAAGAACATAAATAGCTTCTTTATAAACAATCAGAAAAAGTAAATGCCATCTTGATTGGTGGTTCTTCGTAAGAGAGCTGTTTGATTTCTGAGATTGAGTCAAGGCTACTTTGAGGAATCATCATATTAAGTTTTATTTGAACATTTGAAGACATTTAAACTACCTTTCTAAAAATAAGGTATTAGAATTTAACCCAAAAAAAAGTACGTTCAAAACTAAACATATACCATGAATATAATAAAGAAGTTAAGCTTATCAAAGGTGATTTCTAACGCTTTGGTAAAAATTTTCTTTACATAATACCTGTGAAGGAATCCCATTTACTCTGCTCTACGTATTTTCATGAGCCAAATCTGAGTGCCTCAGGACTTTATTGCTTCCCTACTCAATTTCCATTTTAAGAATGTATCTTTCCTTACAGCACAGTGTCATAATTCCACTCACTCTGAGTTAGGCTGTGGTGGAAAGCCGCTGAGGTAGATCCCGAGGTGGTTGTCACTCCAGCTGTGTCTGTCCCAAAGCCAAGCAGCTCCAAGGGAAACTGGAAGGGCACAGTCACAGGAACAAGGCCACCCAGCATCCCAAAAGGAGCTAATGGTGCAGATGTCACGTTCTGACTGGTCACAGACAGGGGTGATGCCATGAGAGTCAGAGGTGAGGCATTAGCCAGTAACGATGCTCCTGCTGTTGACTATGCGAAAAAAAAAAAAAAAAAAAAAGCAGTACTTCAAGATTTTTAAAGATCTGAATTGTATTCTTTAAGGATATAAAAATCAAGTATTCCCTGTTAAGTGTTGCTCTGTTGAGAAGTATATTAAACTATTAATGAATATCCACTTATATACCCAGGAAGTCTTCCCAGTGTTCATTTGCTAAGCAAGCACAATTATATTGCAGATTCAGACATAAAAGTATGGTTCATCTGTCATGTTTTTCTCATCAGCCTTACAGGTACTTTCCTTGATTTCCTTTCTAATTATGCACTGGGTCTACAGTCACAATGTAATGCAGTATCTTCTATTAGATTAATAATATGAAATTGTCCACCAAAGATCTGACGTTCTTTAGAAGTACAGTGTTACAGCTCTCTCCTTTCCAAATCAGTGTCTTAACAGAACATTATTTCTAAAGAAGCTGCAGAGAAACAATGAATTCTGAAAACTAAGATTCATACGTAAGAATCCCCAAACTTAAGAAGCTAGGTTAGCAAAATGCATACATATGTATGTAGAGGTGTGTATGCACATGTCAGAGGAAAAGGCAAAGGAAAATAATCTCTCCACTATAAATGTCAAAATGAAGTTAAATTCACTGAGCTTTAAAATAAAAATGCAAGATTAGCAAGAACATTTTATCTACACCAGCTCCCAAATCACATTAATTCCTCTAATATTAGATCAGCTCATTCTTGTTTAACAATCTTTCCTTCAGTGCACATACAGTAATTTCATATGCTAATGTTCAGTCCTCTAATTATCTACTACAAAACAGTTAGTATAAAAAGCACTTTGAATCAGACTCCAATGCAGATAGTGTAGCTATTTGAATTAAAAAGACTCAGATGAAATAGGATTTCAAATCTGTGCATTTTTACAAGTAAGCGTCAACTAAACCCAAAATTTAGAATAATTTTAACGAACACATGAGCTTAAAATGAAAATGACATTTCACTGAGTTCTGTAATAACAACTTACAGAGAAAGCAAAGTCATGAAATCTCCTAGCATGGATAATTTTTGATTACCAGTTTTGGTCTTAAGATATTCCAATGAAAGCAGCTAAAGAAAGGACAGTTTTTTCTTAAGAGAAAACACACTATTGTAAAACAGTGGCCCTGTAAAGGGAATTTACCTACAGGTGATGTTCCCAGGAAGTGTTCATATTGATCATCTTAAAGGTACCAAATTCTACAACATATTCTATCCCACAAGCAGAAAAAAAAAGAATGAAAAGTATCAACACACTATTATTCTCTTTTGCTTTTAAAAGTACTAATTTCACAATAAGCTTATGTACAAAAAATTGACAACTATTCATTGTCTATGTAATCTAGTAAAGGGCAACAATAAAAGCCATACAGTAATGTTTTGCAACTGTGAATTTGTAAAATGCCTGAAAACAAAGTTTGTAAAGTGCTCTGCCAAGACCTTGCTTACTCACTAAAAAAGGAGAGAGAAGTACAGTGAAGAAAAGAGCTACAGAGCATGCTCTAAAAGAACTGCAGTTCAGATGTTTCTATTTAACCCATATACAATAGTTCTTAAAAGGGTGCATCCTGGTCCCACAGATCTGATTGAGATCCTTAGAAGTGTAAGCCAGATTCTGCTCAAGAGTACTAATGGTAGGTAGAGCTTTTTAAGGAAATCCCACATGTACTCTTTGGCTTTGTGTCCTTAAGATGGAACTTTCTGTGAAGCTTCAGCAGGTATAAACTTGTGTTCTGGTAAATAATTGTGTCAATCAGAAGTGGAAAATAGGGAAACACGTCTTGGAAGCTTCCTGGTTAAGTACACCTTTATTATCACACAAAATAATCTAGTTTCATCTTTAATGTAAGCAGACCAGAATATTATAATGAGCAATGCAGGTACCATTCTCATCTTCTAACAGCATCTCAAATAGGAATTAAATCCTAAGGCCTTAAAAGAAAGGAGATTCAGTCTTATGTGAAGTTTTAAGAGGAGTAAATAAGTCCTTAGTACATTGTTCCTAACAACTAGTCTGGAATTGATGTTGGTTCAGCAGCCAGCCATTACACCTTTATAGCTAAATAAAAACCTCTGCTATCACAAATCTCTTCCCCTTTAATGTACTTGAACTGGGAGGTAATTTAATTCTAATCTTTCCTTGAATGTACTCCACTGACTAAGCTCCACAGTGCATAGCAGTAACAGCCTTATTCTATGGTTTATCTTCTTGGATTTCATACTGTTCTTCTGAACCATTTTTAGGTTATGAAAGTAATTTCTGAAGTGTCAAAAAGCCCACATGAAAGGTCTCAATAATTATTTTAGTGATACCATATGCTGCTCAGTACCTACAGCTGATTTACCCCTTTCTATATACCAACACACCTTATTTTGCTGTTTTATAGTATGGACTCATGTTACTTGATTATTCACCACACACCCCCACACTTCAGTGCTCTTCAGAAGGACTGTGGCCAAAATGGATTTAATTACTCGGGTGATCAGTGTTTGTAACAAAAAAATTACTTGCCTTCAACTACAGGAGGGGGGTTTGCCTGAATTCATCTCATCATCCAGCACAATACTGCTTGCTTCCCTTCTCTGTCATCTTTAAGCTCTACCACACCCATTTGCCATTTTGTTCTACATCACAGCCATTGCATCGACTGAATTCTGCTGACTGCATCAGAAAGAAACAACTTTCTTCCCAGTCCATTCATTGTAGCCCTTTTTGTCTCCTCCAGATACCTTCAAGAGTACTCAAACTGCACTGGACTTGGTTCAGCTTTTCTCCAGACCCTACGTGGTACCACAATGGCCTGTACGCAGCATAGTCTGGGGATCTTTTTGACATTCAAAGTACCCAGTGTAAGTGAATGCTGTGTCAGAGCCTGCCAGACTTTTATTGCTGACTGTTCCAGTACAGTAGGATGAAAGACCATGGAAGCGTCCTGTAAAAATCATCTTCCTCCTGTTATTCAGCTGTATTAAGAAGAATTTGATGGCAAACTAAAAGATTATAAAATATTACCAGAAGTCAAATATACATCACTCCCATGCAACTGCACTGTTCAGAATAATACTAAGTTTTTCATTTGCTGTACACCAAGAATATAATTTAAAGCAATACTAATTTTCTTAAGTATTGATGACTTCAGCATAGAAAGCACTAGAGAGAAAAACATCATATCAATTAAGGATTCTCAGTAAAAAGAGCACAGCTTGGGAAAGCAGGTTGTCTTCTGGGTAAATAACAGGCTTATATGTTTTAGAATAACAGTATCTTCAAAGTATTTGTTTTGTTTGATTTTCCTTGTCTCTAGTGATAGTATAAGCTTTCAGTTTCTAGGGTATTTATACATTAATGGGGCGTCTCATCCAGTTTGACTAGATGCTACAAAATAAAATACATAGTCACAAACACAAAAGAAAAGCCCTTGCAAGTGTTAATTACAAGTCTTGAATTACACTCAACCATAGGCAACTGAACTCTAGTTTTGACACTAATCATGAAGCCTTACAACAAATGTAAGAAGACACCTTTTATATGACCATTATTAGAAATTTGTAAATATGAGAGAATACACAAATCAAATAATGCAAGTACATACCACATCCCCTGAAAATATGGTCACACAAAGCTTACCTCTTCTAGTGCTGTTAAAAGAAAAAAGTGAATTCTTTTCCACAGTATAGACCAAGAAACAGTTTACAGTGAGGATTTGTTCCACACTGATCCTTGCATTTCACATCAGCTGGAAATACATATTCTTTAGTGTGAAATAGTTTAGTCAGTATCAGCATTATGCTTAGAAAGGTAAAAAATTAAATTTATGACATTTACAAATCAAGATAAAATATACTAAGAAGAATGTTTACAAAATAAATGTGATAAATATTAATGTAAGGCTCAAATGTGAACTCATTCAGTGCATACCTGCACGCTGGCTGCTACAACTGGAGACCCTGAGGCAGAAGATGGTCTGTGTGGAGTTGACAATTGTTTAGTAGCACCCTGTGTTCCACTTCCTGCTCCCCCAGACAGACTAGTCCTACTAGCTCCACTTGAGTTAAGGTTACTGCCTCTGCTGGCAGGTACATTCATTCCAACTCCACCCAGATTATTTTTACCAACAGTTCCAGAAGGAGAAGAGTTGGGCAATTTTGAAGAAGCCTGAGGGTTTTTTGCAGGCTGAAGGCCTGAGGTGCGATTAGAGGACAGCAAATTCACTGTAGGAGACTGCCTGCTGATATTTACGCCACCGGTCTGTTTATGAAGGGGGTTGTTGCTGGAGTGACTACTCTGGGAAACTAGTGCACTTGAACTGGAAGAACTGGGTGTTGTTGCAGGCCTGGGGGATGAGGTGGACTTGGATGAAAATTTAGGTGATGCATTGGGCTTCGGTGTCACAGAGGGCTTAGATGAAGTGGGCTTGGGAGAGGCAGCAGGTTTGGGAGAGGCAGCCATGGAGAAGGGAGGTTTGAAACCCTGGGAAGAAACTTGTGACACCATAGCCTTGGCTAAATAGTTACTAGAGGTAGAGGTGCTGGATGTTGTCCGAGAAACCAGTGGGTGAGACACTTGAGAGCCACTTCCGGATGAGGGATTAGACAAAGGCAGGCGATACACTACAGACTTATCTTGAGCCTTGATGACTGGTGATGAGCAAGAGAGTTTGGGATTACTACTCAATTTCACCACGGGATTGGTCTGTGATTTACTAATAGTTGCTTGTAAGGGAGATACGTATTTCTGTTGTACAGCTGAATGCTGGTGCACCTTTGTCACTTGTGATGTTGAGGAAGTACCACCTTGAGCCTCAGCAGATGATACCAAGATATCCTTGGTTCTTTGAGAGGAGGTGGAAATAGCTGCTTGAGTCTTACAGGAAGAAATGTGAGTCTGAGAAGAGGAGGAAGCAGCTTGGATCTGACTTGACCTCTGTAGTCCTTGTTGAAGTAGTTTGGCTGGCAAAGGCTCTAAGGAAACCTTGGGATTTTGAATTGAAGATCCAGCAATAAGGCCTGAAGAGATACCAGTGTGAACTAAGTCCTGGGGTTTCTTTGGTACTGGCCCTGTGTGACCAGCAATAAGACTTGATGAATGGGATGTTTGAGTGGGCTCTACTTTCTTTGAAGTTGCCAGAGGCAACTTACTCATAATGCTTGCTAGTTTCTCCTCCCTCAGCCCAGGGCGAGGTCTGGATGTTGGTGTGTCTATGGTAGACCCAAGAGGTGACCCCTTGGCACCATTATTGATAACTGCCAGAGCATCAGAAACAGAGTCCAGTGAGGGTGGGTGGAAAGAGAGGTCTTCATCCAGCGAGTCATCCAAGCAGATCGTCTCCGGAGCTGCTGTGCAGCTAGAGCTGGCTGGGGTGCACACAGCTGCACTTGAACTCAGTACAGAAGCACAACTTGAATTGACTGAAGACATACAGGTTTTCTGTTCCTTTTTTGGACTGGAGTCCTGAAAATGAAGGGATAAGAATCATCAGGTTTAATAGTCTTTCTGAAATTGATTTAAGTTGATCTTTAATGTAATACTTTTATTCAGTAAATTCAGACAAACCACAGATCTACTACTGAAAGTTTCATATTAAGATACTTATGATACCTAGGTGCTGGAACCCTTGTGTGCTAATTCAGTATTTGGATCTAAAAATCTAGCGTTGTTGCTCCACATAACTAAAAATGTCCAACACAGTGAAGAACAACTAGTATTATCAAGAATAGGGTAGCTAATCTGATCACTTAGTAAAACTGCTACTGAATTAAGACAACACCTGGTCATGTCAGATGAGGACCTCTATACTATGGCATCCTTCCAACTGTACTGTTTTCCAGTGTTGCCAAGTTTAACACATACTGAAAACACACAAAGCGCACATTCAAAAATGTGAAACATCACTGGAACTAGTACCTTTTCATAGTCAATTTTCAAAAACCTAATACAGATTAAAGTGACAAAGCTATAAAGAGGTATTTTGTACTACATTCTTTAAAGTAATCCACCACCAAGTCAATAAGCAGTGCCTGACAAACCTTCTGTAAGAATTTTTCAGGACCAGAGGCAGAAACAGGTTGTATCAAATGGTCACATTGGACCATTAACTGGATATTCAGATATCTTAATAGGCTTTTACCTTCACTTTGGGTTTAGGGGCCAGAATCACCTTCTTCTTTGCCCTAAAACAGAAGGGATAAATGTGCATCAGAAGACAAAAAAAAAGGCAAATGATTGTCATTTCAAGTGTTACCCTGATTACACCCTAATGAACTAGAATGATGGCTACAGGAGTCCAGCTTTAATAAGATGACATCCTTGAAATGAAAAATGGCTTAAAATATAGGGGGAAGGAAAAATAACACAGTATCAGTTCATTTTTCTGATCATGCATCTCTGTGTAAATAGTTGCAAAGTCAACTGAATTGATGATATAACCTGACATAAAGATCAGGGTATATCCAGAGAGCTGGTTTTGTTTTTTGATTTAGAAGAACTTCAAAATTATGAGTTTGTCTACTTAGTATAGCTTTGTCTATACTGAAGTCTTCTAGAATAGCAATATAATTTCACTTTTTACATTGACATTTTTGTCCCTGAGGAGAACGCTTCCTATTCTCATTTATTTCAAACCAGATAAAAACAGTTGTTTCTTTCCCCCACAAAAGGAGTTTGTTGCTTATCAACTATTAAAACAGTTGTATCTAATTTGTTGCAAGAAGTAATTTAGCAAACTCAGATTTTCTTCTGCAAGTACACGAACTGCAGTTATGCAAGTAAGGACAGCATTAAGGCTCATTAGTTATCAGCTTCAACTTAGAGGTTCAGCATTTCACACTTTATTTCTTTGAGGGCAATCAGCAGATTTACATCTTGTAGGCAAATTTTGATCCTTTCCTAAGCAACTAGAAATACACCTCGTTAAAAAAAGACTTTACTGTAGGTGGACCATGACTCAGTTTTGATGTTATGTAGAAAAATACCCTATGCTAATCACATTTATCACAAAAGTTGCAACTGGGGTTTTATTTAAAGTTATAACAATTTATTTGAATTCTGTCTGAATATGGACAGCTTCTGAGAGGCACACAGTGTTGTCTGAAAATAAAGAAGATAAAATCCCACTAAGATACACAGACTTCCATGATTAGGGATATTTTTGAGGAAAAGAAAAAAGCAGGAAGTACTGCAGTCTGAGTTCAGTTTAATAGGCTGAATGTCAAAAATTAGGCAGCGTGTAATACTTTGAGTAAAAGGTATTAATTCAAGAATTAATACCCCTGGAGTTATCTAGCCACTTCTCAAGTGAGTTAAAATTTAATGCCACAAGAACGTTACAGTTATATGCCTAAATTAGAGCATTAAAAAAGATTATAAGTATCTTCAAACAAATCCCAAAGTACTTCCCTTTCCTCCCCTCTGTCTAAAATAGGTAGCAGGAAGATGAGAAAAGATGCTCTGCACAACCTAAAGATCTTGTAAAGCATGTTGTCCCTGTTATACTCACGGAGCAGAAGTGAGGTGATTGTGAACACTTCGGCTTTCTTTAAAAAGCATCCTAAAAGAGTGGTGCGAAAAGAAACATGAAATTATTCTACAAAGACAAATAGCATATGACCACTAAATACCCAAATATCCTTTGGTTTTCAGAACCAGCCTGTGATTATCTGTCCCCAAGGGAATTAATGATTACTTTGCCATGCTGTCATGGTATAGGTCTTGGCATCCATGAACAGAAGATCTAAAAAATTGTAATAATTTGCATTTATGCTCAAAATACCTCAGTAAATGACCAAGCAAAAATCAACATAAGAGAATATTACTTCCTTCAACAGGACAGAAGAAATACACTTTGAATGCTCTCTCCTCAAAGATGAATGAAATAGTTAAAATATAAAATAAAAGATTATTGTAAACTCTTCACACTACATGTCCAACACACTGATCCGTAGGCTTGGGTTTGTGGTTATTAATCTCTTGTGGGGTTTTTTTAAAGCATAGAAGATAAAAGGCCAAACACAGTAGCCAGGCTTGCTTCTAGCTTTCTTCAGTACCTTTAGTACTGAAAAAACTTTAGTAAAAGGTTTTGAAATTTTAATAAAAGAAAAACTTTAGGCTATTTTGTATTGCTTCTCTATCTTTAGTTACACTGGACTTACACATACATACTACTACAGAGCCAAGGAATGGCAGGAGCCAGTGTGACAAATCTCAATACTTGCCATGCTTTTATTCAATGTTTTCAGCTCCTTACTTGCCAAGTGGAAAGTGAAAATGATTGCTGACCTGTATCTACCCTACAGTTTACTATTCAAATGCAGCTATGAATAGACAGTGTAAACTTGGGTCACCTTCCTTGTTTCCAGATAGGCAAACTAGGACAGACAACATTTTCTTACAGCACTGCCATCACATTGACATTGACCACATCATGAACAGCTGTCTAAACAAGTGCTTTTCACCACTGATAATACAGCCTGCAGAGCTACAATAATTACAAAATATCTGAGTACCCAAAAATCTCATGTCATCTGGTAAGAAAACACTGATCCTCTCACTACAGTTCAGTGCCTTACTTCTCAGATTCTATTTCCAGCTCTATGTTCCCATTTTCTTCACCACACTAACCTCCAAATCTGTATTGCATTGTTCCACCAGAGACTACTGAACGCCTATGAAGAACATCATGGAGCAAAATCAATATTCCTCATTACATGTTTAATGTGCCACCTCCCAACCTATACAGCTTCTCCAGAGTATTTCCCTTCCCACCTCCTTCTTGGTGCTTTATCCATTCCTTAATCTTTTCAGTTTGGAAATGAAAATTCAAAATTAATCACAGGCCCCAGTAATTTGTAGCATCAGCCTTCAAGATTAAAAACAAAATTTTAAGTACTATAGAAGTACAGAAATCAGACATGGTACAAAGAAAGGACAGGGCAGTATATGAGGTCCCTTGCACCTTTAACAATCCTTTGATTCTGTAATTTCCAGTTATGATCAATACCTTATCTCTTTATTCCTTATGAAGTTATAAGAAACATTAAATACAATTAACTTTGAAAGTGCAAGAATTTTTTCTTCTAAGCTGAACCCACAAAGTTCTGGTACCATACACTATTCTGATTAGTAAGAATTCCTTAAAAATACATGGTCAGTAGATCAGTTTTAGCATTAAATACCTAATTTTTTTCTTACCTGAGGCCACATATAAAAACGAAAAAATTATAAGCCTTCAGCATAATCCCTAACATAACATGCCAACAAAATGAGCATTCAGAATACAAATTGTGTGCTGTATTAGGAATTACCACTGCCAGACTCCAGGAAATACTTTCTTTTCCTCTTTCTATGCAAACCTGTTTGCCTACAAATTACAGTACACCACTTCCTTAACAGAAGGCAGGAAAGTGCCACTCAGTAGATACAGGACAATTTGTAAATCATTATGGTACTAAAACCACCCCATTAGTAAATTAAGTCTTGCTGGTTAACAGGAAGTTATGGTCTGTCACCTGTTGGGGTTTGTTTGGTCTGTTGGTGGTTTTGGGGGGTACTTTGGTTTTTTGTTTAGTTTTTGTCTTTTGTTGTTGAAGCCAATTGTATGGATAGTTTAAAAGCTCAGGAAAATTTTCAGCGGACTTATCAAATGGAAAGGAGAGAACTGTATGTTTTATGGCTTTCCAATACAAAATTTTAACATGCTTCACTTCTATATATTTTTGAATCACCTCACACTATCTCTTGACTATTTCTCCACTATCATCAGTGATCTGTCTTATCTTCCATTCTTAAACTAAACTGGGATTCTCTGTCTCATCTAATTCAATAAAATCTTTATAACAGACAACATCTCAGTCATTAGCATACTTACACAAAAAACTAAAAAACTGGACAAAAACAAGTCAGCTGTATGCCAGGAAGTATAAAACTTCATTTTTTCATTTTGTTACTATTTAACCAGCTATTTCTACACTGACTGATCTCAGAAATATCTAGTACAGCTATTTTTACAGCTTGATACCCATTTGATTTAACTAAAATAAAGGTATTCATGAGCAAGTTGAGTAGTTTATCATTTAGCTTTTACAATCAGGTTGAGGTTTAATGAAATTATCTTTTGCAGTGGTTGCTCAAGAGAGAAAGAACTCAGGCCAAACCATACTTGCTCCTCTTTCACTCCAAACCATTAGAAATCTCTGCCAAACCTGTGTTTCAAAGCAGTTTACTATTGCTCCCATTTTATTTCTCCCTCTCTTATGTGTGGTTGTTTCTTCTTACATCTGTAAGAAGCAAGTATAGAAGCTGGTGCATTTTTAACTACTGTAAAACAGGGCATCCCAAGTGCAAACAAGAAATAGAGAGCAAAAACCTTAAGTCTGTTGTGAACGCTGCTATCGAAATTCTAGCTTGTAATTTTAAAGCCTGTGTGAGCAGTCTGATAATGCAGTGTTCCAACATACAGGCAAAACTGATTTCTAGATCATTATCACTTCCTCTATCACATAAAGAACTTTCCAAGCTGTTACCCTCCCACCTCATACTTTCTCCTGAAATGAAGCATGCTTCATGATGTGTTAGAAGTGGCAGCAAATTCAGTCTCTAGGAGATGATACAAGCAAACAGCTGTCCAAGGAAACCAGTGGGTTTTTTCACTCTCAAGCTTAAAAACAACAGAAAATTAATTTTAGAAAAATATTTGCTCTTCTAAACTATTCCAGCTTCACAAACACACTCCTAAGTTCCAACCAATATCAAATGTACATGGTTGAGTCAAATGTAAGACAATAAATAAGAACCAAAGAAATCCTTTACACCAAAATGACTAGATATCTGAAGCAGTTATCTTACCTTGCCTGCATCCAGCCTTTAGGCCAAAGTGGTTTCACTTCTGTTTCCATGAAGGTTTTGAGGTAATCTTCAGCAGACTGACTTCTATTTGGCTCTAGCTCATAACATCCCAGCTTGATCTTGACAAGATTACACAACAGAGACCTGCAAAAAGAAGCAGAAGAAATATATTTTGAAAGACACAGTCCTTTCAAAAGCTCAGCAGAAAAATGTTAAGAAATTGAAGCTGTCTACTGATAGTTGTAGGAAGTGCTCAGTTCCAGCTGTTTTTTGGAAGTTTATACTGCACAAACCATTGCTACTACAAACTGGTATGCTCTACCATTGTCACTTCTCCATTTTCAGACTCTTACTCTTATTTTCATCCTACTATCATTTTGTAATTTGTTTTACATTTTCTTTGTGGTTTTCTCACAGTTGGAACATCTCCTTTTACTCTGCTCACACTGACCTCTGATTTGTCTGAAAGGAAGTGAAATCCATTCTACACTGAGTACTTCTACAGAGGATTCTTTCTGACAGGGATTTTGTCTTTTGTTCTTAAAAATATAAAAGTGCACAGTTAAGTAACATCATCCTTTCAGAGTCTCTTGGACAAAAAAAGCAACAGATTTAAGCATCTCTCTCCCCTCCAGTTCAGTCCAAGCTATATTGCTTGTACATATTTCATTAAGCTTTCTTCCCTGTTGTCTTCATATACTTAAAAGACTTGTTGAGAGAAGTCCACCAGCCCCTTTTAGTAATACATACACATATATACACACACACTTGTACTAAAATTATCTTAGATCTTTCATGAGAAATTACTAATTTAGAAAGATGTGCTTGCTTAAAAGTCTAGATTATTTAAATAATAGTCATCCCAGTTTTCAGAAAAATCTGTTCTAGGAAACCAAACTCTAGTATCGGATCATTTCAGTAAGAATCTGTGCTACTCTTGAGAGATAAAGAACTTGTGTTCAGAGGGAACAGAAGGGGTTAAGATGATTGCATTGCTCTAGTTGTTGTTGGACCGGGAGGCTTGCCAAAATCCTTATCAACAGTTTTGATGGCCTGTCCTCCTATGGCAGAAATCTCTAGTGCTCGTTGGTGTTTTGTAATGTATTCCTAGAAAGGTGGGAAGCAGTTATAACACTGCTTACACACCTGTTCTTTACCTAAAGAGGTTCAAAGTCCTGGAGTCAGAAAATTCTCATCTATTTGGATAAAGCAGAAAAACAAGCAGTGAAACTGGAAAGGGCTGGACACAGGATGATTTTCCTTTCGAGTTAAAGATTAAGATGTTTTACCATTACAGAATTCCAGTTTGCCTATTTAACACCAACAGCCTTCAAAACTTCTCCAAGGTGTACTTCTGGGAAAAATTATTTATTCAACTGTATCATGTAATGTCATCCTCTTGGAGATCACTTTATAAAGTCAGTGAAAATTCTTGGTGGGAAATGTAGTTTTGTCTTACCTCACTGTGTCATCCCAGTGAAACTTCTTTCTGGGTCCAACAACCCTCTTTCCAGGTTTCTCATCATCATCTTCCTCTGATCCATTTTTCTCTCGTTCATCTTCTGCTTGCAACCTACAGTTGGAACAATTATTTTCTTCAGAATTATACTACACAGACAAAATATGTAATTGAAAAATGAGTGTCATTTTAGGTGTTGGGGGGGAAAAATAACCCACAGAAGACCTGTTTAAGATTTTTGCTATACTTCCTTATAGAATAAACAGTTTTATCTCCCTCACCCCACTGCCTTATGGTTCTCAGACAAGTGAAAAGGACACACTGTACAGATGTTTTCACTGATACCCCAATGAGCTTCAAGCAATGTCTCCACTGGGAAGTGGCAGGATACTTACCAAACTATTAATACCTCTCCGAGTCTAAAATTAGTTAACTATAATCCAAACAATAACAATGAACAAGGACAAAGTATATAAATAATCTCAACACACTATACTCCTCCATTAATCCACCATTTTAGGAATTAACCAGTAATCTTTCAGATTATTTTTTCTATCAAGACCTATCTCACTCAGTTTATGGAATTTCTCTCTGATGTGTGACAATAATACTTACACAAAATTAAATATTTTGTACAATTAAAAAAAAGACACCCTTAAACTGGAGCTGAGTGATTTTCTGAGCTAAGGAAGTAACAACATGGATACAAACTTCCAGCTGGGTTCTAAACAGGCTTGCACAGCCCTCCAGAATAACCTACTTGGCATTCTTGGCTTGATTGCGGGCCTGACAGTCCTCTTGATACTTGCATAACTGCTCAGGCATGACGTTACTGACAGCCAGTTTCAGCTTCTGCAATGGCTCTCTCAAGCGGTCATCCTGTGAAAAGAGGAGTACCAAAATAATCCCATTAGATGTAAAATAAAGAGCATTTCAGATAGTCTCATGAAAATTTCTGGATCAGTTCCAAGGTAACATTCCCAGTACTATTTATGGACTGAGACAGACAATTCTACATGGCACTTGAATCCTGTTAGGTGCAACAGCATTATATAAATGCATGCAAGTCTTGAGATCAGAAACAACAAAAGACAGTCACAAATAAATGTGTCATGAACATTCCAAAACATTATGGCATGCTCTCTTTAAATAATGATTTTAAATTAAAATAGGGAAGGGGAAAAAACTTAAAGGGGAAAAACTGAAATAAACAGACCAATCAATATCTCACCACTTACAAATAAATAGCCTATTAATCAGGTTTCCAAAAACTGTGGTATAAAAACATCATAGGTAATGAATAAAATATGAGTATGTATTATATTATCCAAGTAGTGGATTGTAATTACATGCAATTTATGTACCTGAAAGGTAAGGACTATGTATTTAGAATATTAATAAAAATATTAAGAATTTCAAACATTAAGGTAATATACTATGCACTTTGCTACATGCTTTTAATTCACTTTCTACATCTTCTGACTTTACATTATAAATTTTAATTGCTTATTGAAAAGAACTATAATATTATTTTATGTTTATCTGCTTAGAAATAGTGTTTGAATCTGTTTGCCTTATTAGCAAGCACTGAGATCTCTGCATTAACCTTCAGATCCTCTGCAAGACTTAGTCCTGGATTTTATCTAAAGAACCTGGTCAGGGTACTTCAGATCACAGATAACTTTTCTATTCAACAGGAAAACAATCTTCAAAAGCAAAATAACTGAAAATGGCATATAAAGTATTTGCAAGACCTAGCCACAAAAGGAAATTTGAACAAATAATACAGGCTGGATCATCTATTATCCATGTAGCCTTCCTTTTTTCTTGACACAAAAGTGATAACAAAAGTATGCATTTTTAGCCTATCATAATCATTATTACTGTGGCTTTCCAATTCTGCCACTTTGATACGTACCCTGTGACTACAGTAATACTTAGTGATGACAGCAGAAACACTCCTTAATAGCCTGTATCCAGCTTTCAAGATGAAAGCACTTCATTCTCAAATAAAGACTCTGAAATACTTAAAATATTTGTTCCTAATGTAGTGACAATATCACCTATATGGAAAGAAGCTTTTAAACTTCTCTAGCAACTGATACAAAATATTTTTCTTGACTTAAGGCTGTGTGGCTACTGCTCTACTCTGCTGCAGTCCTCCTTGCTGTCACATAATTGACTCCTGCTGGAGCTCCTCTCCCCATCATTACCTGGACGTTGAGGTGTAACTTCTTCAGGCGTTTTATCAGCGTGTCCTTATTGCACGGCACGAAAGCCTCCAGGTGTGAGTACACTCCATTGCGGATGGCAGGATTCACCTCCTGTAACTGCAGCTCAATACTGACAAACAAACAGGAGACACTCAGAGACACACTCCAAGGTAAAGATGACATCTGAACAAAAACCTAAGGAAGCTTTAGAAACATAGCATATTCTGGCTATGCATACCAAAAATAGCAGCTTGGAATATTTTCAGATAAGCTTTTTTAGAAAAGGAAGAAGTCCTAATCAATGGCAAGAAACCATTCATGTATGAACTTATCCAGCAATGTTGAACACTCATTCAAATTAATTTATACCCACCACTGTGAATCAAAATTTATACACTCTGACTGTTATAGTCCTCTAAAGATTAATTGTATTTCTTAGAATATCAACATAGAACTTCCTATATTAAACCCTTAACCGAAGATTACAAAGAAAAAAATCTGGTGTTTGCTCTCATGAAAGCTGAGATCCTTTGAGTACCAGAAGTGGGAGACAGGAGTAAATAAAGGCAATTTTGTTGAATTTTACACATGAAGGCAAGGACCAGGGTACTACAAAACATTTTACACTGGATAAAGATAGACAAACATGATAGGAATTGTATGCATATATAAATCTCTTCAGCTAATAACTAGCTTAGACTTATCTACCTTCATTGACTTTTAAGGGATTTGCTGGAACAACCTCAATAATACTTCCTCTTCTGTATTTTTCCTTTCACCCCCTTTCCAAAAAGGTTCGGTTCTACAGATAAGCACTTACTCCAGAAGAATATTATTCATGTCTTGTGTGAAAAACTTCTTCCTGCCTTCTTCATCAAACATCTTGGCAGCCTGGAAATACAATTAAAGAAAAGCATTCAAGTTCATAGAGTATTTTGAACCAACAGTCTTTGTATGTTTACTTTCACAGCCATATCATATTCTTATTTCCCAGAAAACGTTACTTGGAAACGAATAAAGAAAACCAAGCTATTCTCAGCTGCTTAGAAAAAAACTGATGATTGTTATACTCAAATATACACACCTTGCTCTAGGGCAGACAATCATTCTGTTTAGGATCTGCCTGGATCACTGATGTAAACACATTCATCTTTTGAATAACCATTAAGATAATGGTAGATGCTTTATCACCATCACCACCACCAACATTCTAATATCTCTGTTTTAAAAAGAGAAGCGTTGTTTGACAGGTCAAGAAGGCAAGAGCATTAACTAACACATTTCTACTCCATCTTTTTCTACCTGTTATGTGCTTCATCCAGTTACATATTTCCAGCTTTCTTAGAGCTCTCTCAAACCTTTGCTGCAATTTCTACAATGGGATTATATATGCTAGAGGAATGCCTCATCACTCTTTTCTGCTGCTGTCCAGCATTCTTGCCATCTTTAGACTGTATCTTTAGTATTTTTGTCTGGTATTTCTGTTCTTTTTATCAGAAGCTTTTACTGATCTCCCAGCAATTCCCATGCAGAGTACTTTATTTTTGTTCTTATCACCTAGATCCCTTCTTTTTTTTTTTCCTCACAAGGAATGACAGCTTATAGGACAAAGCCAATTCCCTGTACCATTCTACAAAAATCAGTAAGAACCTTTCTCTAGCGTACATCTACTCTAGAGAAATTTACAAGTCGAGAAAAGAGTCCTTAAAAATACCATAGAATGGTGACTTTCAATTACATAGCTAAAAACGACAAATAAGTCCAAGTGTTAATGTAATTAATTTATTACTATTAAATACTTACTGTTCTTGCTCTTTATAACTGACCCATCAAAATTTGAAAGAAAACTATTTTCTAAAAATCGTGAACTCTACCTCTCTTCCTTTGTGAACTGCACAGGAAAAGAGTGTGACACTGTCTAAGCTGTAAGGTAGGCCATTGTCTGAATGCTTTATTGCTTCAGTCATGAACACTGATACTGGAGTTTAAAGTTTCTGCAAGGACTGCATTCCACCCATTGTTTTCTACCATAAATACAGTTGCTGAGGGAATGGTACTATCTGTTTAAGAACACTGAAGCATTTGTCCTGCTAAAAAAATTAGAACAGTTATAGATGCTTGCAAGTGATAGGGTACCAAAAAGACAAGTCAGAAAGTCTTAAATCTAGTACCTTTATGACTAATTAACACAAGGATTAGTGTCATCATCTGGTCTATATAAACCAGAAAGAAAAAGCTTTAACATTTTGGTCCCAGGTAGACCTTGAAAGGCAATTCCAGCATTATATTATTATGCTGAACAGCATTGCTGGCTTTTAAAGAAAGAAGCACTGGCAGATTCATAAACTTCATCACTATTACTAACTATGGTTGGGTTTTCCCGGAGTGATTATCTTGACAGTGACCTTCAAAATAGAGAAAAACCCCTTTTATTTACTTTCCTTCTTGTATACAATATTGCCTTCTGTCATGGTAGTACAGAATAACCCACTCAGGGAACTAGAACACATCAATCTATCAAAGGACGTCAGGAAGTTTTTATTGCCTTTAGTCATTGGCTTTCTAATATTACTATTTTTTTAATCTTGATATACTATATCCATCCATAGAGAATAGGCTTCTTCCTACAGCTTTACAAACTTTTCTTTGTGCTAAAGAGATCTAAAGCTGTGAGAGTCTGGTAAATATTTAACAATATTCTTTCATTTTTAGTACTTTTTAGAAGATGTCTGATTGCAATTTAGAGAAGGTATGGAAGTAGCAATCTTTAAGTCAACATACAGTCTAGTGATTCCCCAAGCATAAACTTCTCTGCTTAGCCAGGAAGCTTTCAGAAGACACTGTCAAAAATGGAAGAGTTCCCAGCTGGTCTAGAGGAAGGTATCCCTGCCCACAGCAGTGGGATTGGAGAGGATGATCTTAAAAGGTCCTTCCAACCCAAAGCACTTTATGATTCTATGAGGAGTTACGTTTTCCAAGAGCCACTGAATTAAAGATGCCTCCCAACTGGTTTGGGATTGTTATACAGAGAAGCAATGTCAAAAAACTTGGGGTAGGTCACTAACGCTTCCTGAATTTTGACCTAATCCATTTCTGCACTTTTGCTAGAAGCTTATTGTTGATTCATAGCAAAATTAACCTGCATACTGAAAGGCAGACAGAAGCTCCTTCACTTCAGTAAATATTAATTCCTTGGCTGTATTTAGCTTGGTATGTTTTAAAATAAGTAAGAAAACTAGAAGACACTTTTACAGGTAAGAGCAAAGCAAGCTCTGCAATTGTTTAAATGATTTTCTTTTTGTCCAAAAAAGGAAGTAAGTTTTGAAAAAGCAGTTAACTATGAGTAAAGAAAAGCTACACTTTATACTAAATAAGGAAAAGCTGCACTTTATTCTAAGTAAGGAAAAGCTTTAATATCATAATCTGAACAAGCAACAAATTTATTCTCAATTTAGGATAACATCCATAACGGAAACAAGGAATATGTAACACCTTAATAGCTCTCATCCCTTTCAATAACTTACTGGAATATTCATAACTTGTTAATTTAACATTTTTCATCCCATTTTTGAGGATCTCAGATTCCATTCTAACCTTCCAGAAGAACAATTCTGTTTTGTGGTTGGTTGGTTTTTGTCTTGTAGTTGGGTGGTGGTTTCTGGTTGTGGTGGATTTTTTCACTTGTTTTTTGTTTTTTTGTTTTTTTTTTTCCAACTGGCAAGTTAAAGTCAAAAAACCAATACATGGATTTTTAAGCTGCAGTCATATTTCAGGTAACCTCCTCCAAAGTAAGAAAATACCCATTCAATTTAATACTTCAAGTTAAAATAACACTGGTATTTCCATTATGGAGAAAAACCCATAAATAAATGAACATTACAAGTTATCGTACACAGAAGATTTAGAAAACCCTGCTTCCACTGTGAAACAAACACTGCTAAAATAATTGACCTGCATAATTTCTGTCCGTTTTCATCTGAATATAAACACAGCCTTTAAGATTGCCATTAACATCAATTCTTCATTTCTAAAGTTTCAGCCAGCAATTCAAGGATGACACTCAAGGTCCTAAGTGTTCTTCCTTGTTCTCTCAGGTTCTTGAATGTAATCCACTACCAGTGAATTCATACTTACTGTTCGAAGGTCTCCAATGCGCTTTTCAAGTAGCATAGGCAGACCTTCTGGGAGGGCAGGCACCTGCTTGGGTGTCATGACCTGAGAGGTGTAGGTTGCCTGAGTGACATTTCCATTCTCTCCTGACAGTTCAGACCCCGGGCTGCCATCAGAAGTGCCATCAAGCAACTTGTCAAAGTCAATGTCTCCCAGCATCTCCAGGGCACTTTCAGTTTCTTGCAGGAGCTCAGGTTCATTTGTGCTACCAAAAATGGAGAGGACAGGATCATTGATCCTAAGATTCAAGTCAGAGATATCATTTCCTGCACTGAGAGAGGAGGAAGGAATTTTACTAGGGGTAGAGGTTGCAACAGTCACTGGAGATTTTGGACTAGGTTCCTTCTTCCTCATGGCTTCCTTCTCTTTTTGAAATTTACGGATCATGGCAGCCAGAGAGAGCGAATCTTTATATAATTTCTTTTTCTTCTTCTCAGACTTGTGTGAATTTAAGGCCATTACTCTGTAGAGGAAAGAAATCTTTCATTAGCATGTGACTTTTGAGGCCTTAGTAACCTTTAACAACACAACTCAAAGTTTAGTACAATTAAAATTTATCAGGGGGAAGAAGCAAGTACTTCCTGCTTGCATCTTCAGACCATTTTATCAATTACCGTAAACCTTAGGCAGTCATGTGTTTACACGTTCACCAACTGATTTGTTAAGTTTTATACACATTAAGGCAAAGTTTATTTCATTTTGACTTCTCAATTTAATTATGGAGAAGTTGGCACAAGTGTTAAAACTAACAGCAGATTTACAATACTAAAATACTTAAATTTGCTTCTCAAGACTGCTTAATAGTGGCAGGTTGCCTGCACAGCATATACATTAAAATTCTTTTCATTGTTAAAAAAATTTAAATGCAGGCTCAAAATCTGTATTTTACTTAGTTTAAACTGAGAATTTTCTACCAATTTGTCACCTTGATGAAAAATGAGGTCAATAAATTTTCAATATTCAATGTGAATATTCACAGTAAGACAGCCTCCATCCTCTGAACAATAGTTTTCTAGTAGCCACCTAATCTAGTCCCACCATCTTAATCTTTCTATGCTAGCCTCAGAATTCAGTACAAAGTCAGTAAGAAATATGTAGAAGAATAATTAAACTGTATTTACAGCTTTACAGATGAGAAACAGAGATAAGAAGAAAATTATTTTTCATTAGAAGATGCAATTCCTAGTGCTAGTTTAGATGTTGGGTAGGTCAATAATGCTTTATGCTATTCATAATACTCAAAATTTATTTTCTGTGATCTGTCTTTCCTTAGTATTCCTTGTTCAAAGTTTCAGGGGATAAAAATTTAGTCTGTAGGACTGAGTCATACAAAAGTCTCATACAAATTCTGGAACAAAATCTATAAGCTATTAATTACAATATAAAAGCACAATATTCAAAAGAGCTGTAATGATCTTGCTATTGCATACAACCTCAAAGCCAAGCCTCAAATATAATTCAAGAGTTCTTACCAAGAAAAAGAAACCTACCCCAACTGCTTAGGAACTTTCATTTTCCGAGGCTTCTTCTCCTTTTCTGTCCCTTCATCTTTTCGCTTGCGTTTCTTCATTCCACGATCTTCACTTTCTTTCAACTTTGCTATCTAGAAAAGAGATCAAATAAAGGACAATGATTCTTCACCTAAAACACTTCTACAGCAAGAAACATTCAGTTTTCTTTACTCTTTCCAATTCAGAGCCAGGAAAAACACCTCAATGTGTGTAAAGGCAAATGGTATGATGGATTCCTAGCAGCAACTGAAGTTACTGACAAGTGTTAATCATGAATTGTTTTCAAACAGTTAGGAAATTTAGAGTTTTCAGTAAGAGAAATATTCTAAGGTACATGTACACTGCTGCCCAGCCAGTATGGCCAATGGCTACCTTGGAAGATGGAATTTCTGCACCTTCTTGTGCTACTGAAGTTTCATTGCTGATGATGAAGCTGCCCATTATGAAACATCTTTGCTGCTCAATACAGGCCACCTGCCTCGCCTCCCCTCCCCTGCCGATCCTTATATTATCTGAGGGTGCAGGGCAGGGAAACAGAAAGCCTTCAGATTGTGCAAGCGTTAGCCAGCAACAGGCAAAATTCTGTAGTTATCAACATCATTTTAGTCACAAATCTAAACCATAGCATCATACAGGCTGCTAGAAAGAACATTATCTGCATCCCAGTGAGAGTCAATACAAGAACCTTAAAATTAAGAGTTATAGAGCAGGAAAGGACACCAAGAAGAACTAAGTTCTCAGAAATGGCATGCAACTTGTTCATGCCATAGTGCAATTATGTTTGCATTGACTGTAACTCCTCAAAGTTTATAGAATAGCATGCTGTTTGGAAAGATTGTGTATATAATTTTAATATAGCTATTCTTATCAACTGAGTTTATTTTAACAGGTATTTTGATTTAAAATATGGTTAAACCAAATTAGTTAAATTTGGTTTAAAATTCTCACAGTTAGGAACAATTTCAAATCATGAAAACTTGCAAAATCATTAAGAGCAGTATTGATGAGTTTAAGGTCTAATCTTGTATAATAAAATTCTTACAGAATTACAAAATCATCTGTCAGTTCAAGATGGGTGAACACAACTTGTCAGGCTGCCTAAACAGATGCTTAGTCTTACAAGACTAGACAGCCTGCAGACATTCTGAGTTAGTTACTGAATGCGAGTACATGAACCACAAAACAGAAGATGCAATAAAACAGTACCATGCATCATTCTGCTTTTGGACTCTTCATCTGAGCCATTCTAAGTGTATCAAATATTTCAAATGTCCACCTAGCTTCTATTTCTGTTTAAAAGCCTTAATTAAAATCACTCACTTTAGTTGGTCTATGCTTTTTGTCTTCTGCAAAGTCTTCATCCTCTGATTCAGATGCCTGGCGAAACTGCAGCGTGCCAGTGTTGATATAAAACCCTCCATATTTGGTTGTCAGGGATGCAGGAACCAATTCATCATACTAGGTAGGAAAAGGAAGAAGAACTTATTAGCATTTCTTAATAAACTAAACATGTATTTCATTCACCAGTCCCTATACATAAAAATATATATACCAATTCACAGCACAGCTTGCTAGAATAGAAACAGGACAGCAATTCTATAGAAAATTAACTCGCTGAAGCACAGAACATTAATATTACAGAGTATCCTTTCAACAAAATGCCCTTTTTAAACAAAAAGGCAGCATTACAGCATTAAAACCTACTGCTTTCTCAAGGCAACTCACCACAGTGCCCTGCTCAAAACCCTACTTCTTTTAAAAAGTCCTGAAATTTTCTTTGATAAAAATGCTATCACAGACATGACAAACTTAACCTCAGTGTCTGTAACCTTTTTTCCAATTTTAGATGTTTAATACAACATTGCCTCTTAAACAAATATCACAATACCAGGACTTTCTTCATTTGAAGGCAAACATTCTCACTTTGTTCAGACAATTTTAGAACCACAAGATGTTTCAAACTCTATCAACAGTTTATTTTGAAAAGTACTTAGTATTTATGAAGAAATTTCCAAGTTAGCATTATAAAGCTGAATCTCAAAAATATTGGAATCCAAAGACATAGAAAAAGTGGTCAATAATCAGTATAGAGGACGACAATATCCACTGTATTATTACATGGAACCTCCTTGCCATATAAAATATACTGAAGACAAAATGGTTTAAGAACTGAAAAGTCCAGGCTACCAGAGACTTTTAGATAGGAAGAGGAGTTATTAAGGAAAGTAAAACAGTAAATATGTACTTCAACAATGAAGCTGAGAAAAGAGCCTGAACTGGAGGCCTACCCAGGGATTTAATCTGAATAAGTAGTTAGAAACATCCCTGACTCATACCCTTTTATCTTCCTGGAACAGAGAACTTCACAAGCAGTACAAAAAGACAAAATGGGAAAAGTGGTGACAGCATTTATAAAGTACCCTAAGATTATTTGAAATGCTAGTACAAGAAAGTGAGAGAATCTATTAACTGAACAAAATGAAAGTGAAGTGGCTCAATAGTGGACTTGTCATCCATCTTAAAAGAACAGGAGTACCATGCAAAATAAAATAGAGAGTGGAGGTTGTAGAAGAATTTCAGAAAACTCATGTTTTTTCCACAGCTCTCAGAACCAGCTTCATTAGGCACAAGGAAAATAAAAGTAAAGAAAAGAAATTATTATCCACAGTGCATAACAGACACAACAGACATTTCCCATTTGAGCTGACGGGGGTAAACTGAATTAGCAAGGGTGGGGCTGTAAAGGATCAAAACTGAAGAACCCAGTAGTTGCCAGGTTAGAAGGAAAAGGCATTCAGTCAAAGCTGGTACTATTATCATAGGAAGCAAAATCCAACACAGAAAAGACTGAGATGCAGACCAGTACAGGAAGGCCTGGGTAACACACAAGTAAGGATTAAAGACAGTCCACAAATGAGGAATCATGAATCATATGAATCACAGCAAATTATCTGAATTATCAACCTGCTGTGTGGCACAGATCCACTGGAACAAGGCAACAAGAAAGGCAGAATTAAATTAATATACAGAGTGAATGTGTTCCGTAACAGTCAACAGGCAAGTAAGATCAGCAAGATGTGGATGTATAACTAAGCAGTTGAGGTTTCAACAGCTTCTGTTAAGCACTATGAATTTAGTCAGATCTTCAAAGACCTTTCTGATATCTAGCTCCTCTTAACCCTTGAGTAAGACTACTTTTCTTTACCAAAATCTGTTTTAGTCCTGAACCTATTGAACAAGGTATAACTTTTAACTCAATGTTGTATTTTAGACATAGGGGTCTGCAGACTACAGTGTAGCTAGTACACCCCCCTTTGAGCTAAGCTTACTATTTTCTAGTGCCCTAACTAAACAGAAAACGAGTATACTTGTATAAGGTATTAGTAACAGAGATTAGTCATCATTTTGAAGTGCTTCCAGAACTCTCAGTTAAAGGAAACATGGCTCTTGCAAATTCTAAACCTTCTTTCGAATTGTTTTCAAGACATTTGCTTTAAAGTATTCTTTTCTGCATATGAAATCACACAATTTATCTTATGAACAAAAATAAGTTTAAAGCCCTTTACAGTGTTCTGTTCTTCCTTACACATTTCAAGGGTGAATTAAAAAATCTCAGACCTACAAAGAGACAGGGCTTGACTAACTCCTGTGAACACACGTTTGCCCTAAGACTGATTATGGAATCATCTTGTAGGTAACAAAATAAGACTGATAGACTGTCTGACAATCTGAAAAGCAGGTTCATATGTAAGTTATTTTAAGCTATTGTCCTTGAGCTACATTACTACACTTTTAGTGTCCTTAATCTAATTAAAAGTTTTGGTATGAAAAAAATTAGTTTTTTAACAAGTAAGTTAACTGGTTTCAACTTCATCACTATACCAAGAACAGTGAATTTTTATGGATTATACCAATTTAGTTCTGAAATCCAGACCCACAGCAGTATCTTATATTAATATTGTCTACTCCTGAGTCCACACATTTTGACCACAATCCTCAGATATTCTACTGTGATCCTTCTCCTCATTCACCTCCCTTCCAGATAATAACCTCCAAAGGTACACAAGTGAAAAAGTTTTTAAACACTTCTGTACTAAGTCTTGGAAATGAGATTTAGTGCAAACATGTCTAAATGGTTTAACAAATGCAGCTTGTTATTATTTGTTGTGTAACAGATAATACTCAGCTAAAACATAAGCAGGGATAATTTTTGTACCTTGCTTAGTTTCTTTTTGAGGTAGGTCTAACCAGCTTGGGGTGGAAGGAACTGTTCAGTTGATATTGAATCATCAGTAGCCCACTGAATAAAGGCCAAGCTACTGAAATTATGTCAAATACTGTTCCTTCAGTGAAATGGACTAAATATCTACACAGCTCACTACACACTTCAGGATACTTCAAAAAGAGAGTTAGTTGATCTCTATGCTTCTTCAAGATGCAAAGAACTGAAATGCACTATTTGGCTTTGCCATCCTTTAAGGCTAAGTTTTCAAAAAGAACACATAACTACCTTTCCAAACTGCAGTATAACAGAACCTACAAGGAAATCTTGGACAAGGTTAAGGGGAAACAATTCATTGCTTTGCTAATCCAAGGAGACATCAAAAAGCAAGCACAAAGTTTTCCTGTGATAAAGAAGACTTCTCTTCCAAAATGCACAGGTAAATTGGCAGGTTGGCTTGTTTTTCTTTTAACCCTGGGGAAAAGGACAGCCAGCAGAGCACAGAAGAAAAAAGCATAAGAGATTATAAAAGATATAATACTTGGCCCAGGGTAGTCTCATAGGAGAATCTTAGTTTAGTAGTCAGGATATCATAAGCCATCAGCCCACCGGAGCACCTTGAGAGAAGTACCAACACACATCTATTTCCTGTTTCGTTCCCATCTCGACCAACACCTTTTATATCTTTCCACCAGCCACCAGAGCTAGGCTATTGGCTTAAGTGACCTTCACTTCAGAGATTACATTCTTATCATCTTGAAAACATTTCAGCTGAAGTTATAAAATGTATGACCAGTCATGTGACCACTTATCTGTACAACTCAATTCTTTCAGAGCTTGAGCTCTGACCTGACCCACAATGAAAATCTAGTTCAGCGTTAAATAATTATGTAATGTATTACTTAATCTTTCCAGGTTTAACATTACAGAACTAGTAGAAGATTCTGTAGAAAAATACTTACACTTTCATTTTCCCCTCATTTAACACGAAGAGCAGATTTTCCATATGTGACACTTAAGACAAATGCTCTTAGCAAAGATCTGTTATTCCAGCATGTTATAAACCTCCCTTTGCATTACATTAGTAATCATATTGTTTGTGTATTTTTCAGGAAACACTTAGGTTCATTGTACTGCCTACACAAATAAATCTTCTCAAAGAATAGCTGATCCTAGGTCATGATCTACCCCTCTAGTAGCTCAGATTACTTTGAAAAGTGATTCTGTGCTCTTCAAAACATTAAATCGAGCAAAATACAGGATGTTGCTACAACCATTATTATTTCCTTCTCCTACAAATTTAAAGAGTGGTACTACATAGGCCAGATACAAGTCTCAGGTGTTTTCAAGAACCTATGCAGGTGCTAAATTTTCAGTTTATTCAGTTTATTCTTATTCTCTCCTAAAGAAGGGTATGCCTTTTTGCAGAAGAAGCACAAAAACATCACTATTGCTTTAACAAACATCAGACGTGTTCAGCAAATTCAACTACCTTTGTTCCTCTAGCTATTTTGGTTCTTGTATCTACTTCTTGCATCTGTATCTATTGGTTTGATATTTCACGTTATACCTAGACTTATTTTGGGGTGAGGAAGATAAAAAGCCAGGAATCTACAAACTGAAACTTGTCCTTGTACTCACTTGAATGCATAGGCTATGTCAGGGGCCAGCTGTCAGGCATCCCCTGAAGACATGCAGGAAGCGTGCACAACGCGTTATTAAAGGTGACATGGTGCGCTCAGCTAAGTGAGCACTATTCCCCAAACACACAACTTCCAAGCCTGGGCAAAGTGACAATGAACAAGGAAGACAGTACTAATATAAATACACCAATCCAGAGCCAATGAAACAGCTGGCAACTCAACCTCTTAAAAATAGAAGCTTTAATGCACCCTCATGTATTCAGTGTGGATGAGGTTTGCAACTGAGGTCTACAAAGGCAGCGTTTTCCAAATGAAAAATGCCACAGTGTTCAACTTCTCTCAATACACCATGAAAATATTTTTAATAATGGATCCTATGGAGTGTTCCTCTGTAAAAGCCTCTAACATTTGCAGGTTGATAACTTGGTTGCTTTGTTAGGTTTTTTTAAGAGAGAGTCATCTTTTTAAAACAACAACACTCCTCTCCATAGATAGCACAAAACAAACTCTTTGGAGCAGAAAGAATGAGCAAACAGTACCAAGTTGGCCTGGAACTACATCTGGCCCAGAATCTCACAAAAATGGTAAAAATTTCCATTAACACACTGAGCTGCCATTCCCGGAAGAGATACTATCCTTGCTGGGAAAAAGTTTCTCAGATATTCCAGAGTTTTGCCCAAGATAACCTTACTGATAATCCATCAGCTTCAGGTTTTAGGGGCAAGCCAGGGTAGGAGAAAACAGGATATTAAATCTAGCATACCTTTTTAAGTCTGAAGAATACAATAGGAGGACAAATTTATCCTGGAAACATGTGAAAACTGTATTTCATGACACAGAATTTTTGCAGAGACCAAGCCCTTAAATTATGGAAAGTATTCTAGGGAACTCAGATAGAAACAGAACAATGCTTTTAATAGTGTGTCCAGAATTACTAAAACCAACACAAAATCTTTGAAAGGTTTTCTTTACAGATGATTTGAGCTCTTGAGGCAAGATGTAGCTAAAGAAAAAGTAAGATCTTGCTTTTAGCTGAAGTACCTGTTTTGGAGAAAATTTCCATGTATGAGAGACTATTGATACGCTGGTATTCTCTAGTGACCAGCACAGGACTTTTATGTCAGTGTTTAGAAGGCTACTATGGAACTATGAATATAACAGACTAAATCAAATATTTACACAGGGGCCTGGGTGTCTGAAGAACTGAACTGCCTGCTTCCCACTCCTCTTGGCATTCACATTTAGCTTCAATTCCTGCCAGTATGGGTACCTAGTATCACTGCTTCAAAAAACGCTGCTTATAGATTTGTAGGTCAACACTTCTTTTTCTACATTCATCTACTTGAAATAAAGGAAGTTTTTGGTATGGATATCTAAGCCTTGTTACCTTCAAATAAGAGAAAACAGCATACATTTTCATTAACACCATGTATTACTTTAAATTCCCTCTTCTGTATTGCATAACAGAAAGCCCAGAAAGCACTGTGTTCCCTTGCAGTCTCTACCTATATAAAGCTTACATTGACAGGAAAGTATTCAACCAACCAAATAATCAGAGATTATCACAAGAGCAAGTAATCAGTCGGATCTGGGTGGACATTCATGTGTGTGCAGGAAAAATAGACTGGGTGAAAAATTCTACAGGAATTCCACTCCATAAAGAATGTAGTTCTGGGCAGCTTACACTACAGCAAAACCTATTTTCAACATCAAAGCATGGAAACACTGACTAGAGGCAGCTTTCTCTACAGGTTATAGACATTTTGTATAGGTCCATTAAGATAAGCAAATATTAGGACTTGCCACCAGGCTAACCCCTATAGAGCAGTTAGAAACAATAGTAAGCTGGTTGTGATTTACTCTTTTACTGGAATTATCACAATCCACTGACTACAGTCAAAGTGCTCAACCCAAGAACAGCTGCTCACATAGATTTCCTGCATGCCTGCAAATGCATTTACCTCAAAATCAGTTTTTAAAAGGAAAGTATCTCTAAAGCCATGGAATAAATCTGTTTCAGTGCCAAAGAGCTCAGTATTTCTTTCACAATTGTGACAAGAAAAAGGACTAAAATTTTTTTTCAAGCTAATCCTGGAGCAATTCAAGAAGCACTCATTCACTTTTCAAGTGCTTGTGCCCAGGATATTACACCTTTTTGTGTGTAAGAAAGTGTGTCTTCTAAGAAGTAGTCCAGGGCCTGGCTCTAACACATCTCAGGGTACATGGCAATTTTATAGCTGGCCATACAGAAGATGAGCAAGCCAGACATGTAGATTTTCTTTCTGAACACTTCTCTTGTATCCAAGGCAGAATGATGGAATTAGAGGTTTTGTTGAACTTCAACTCCTACATTACAGAACCCTTAAGCTCTACAACAATGTGGACTGCAGCTGGCCCACTATATATTTTTCTTCTTTTCTATATTAAAACAGGGATAAAAGCAAAATAAAGATGGTCTCTCACTAGTCCGTATTTGTAACACGGACACGAGGCATAATGATTTGTTGAGGAGAGCAATCTTTAGAGAATACACCATTACTCCCCAATAGCTTCCACAGCTAGGACATGATGCAACCATCTGGTCCTCCAACAACTGCCTTTTGTACATTTTGCAAGGACTCTGGCAAGAGATAGAAGTAAATGCTCCTGCAAATCTATCAGACCTGCTGCTGGTAACACCACCAGTGCTGGAAAGAGGCACAGTATGCTAAGTATTAATACAGCAGACTTGTACTTTGACAGAGACCCGTGCTATGAGTATTGCCAGTGCTCCAAATCTCGTATCAGATCTGTGATAGGTCACAGCAAATCCAGGAAAACCTAGCTAGAACTTGGGTTGGGTATCATAACATTTTAAAAGCGAAGATGATGAACTTAAGCAATAGTGAGAAACCAGATAAACCTATAGGCTCAAGTGGTTTCTCAGCAGAAATGAAGCACATCTGCTCCTACCAAGCTAGAGACCAGAATCCGACCTTTGGAAAAGACATATGAAGGCTTAGATCCCAATATTGTTCCAGCAGCACAACCAGAAGTTGTGAGATAATGATAGAACAATTTAATATTGGCAGGTTCAAGTTTCTAGACAAAGAAAAATGACAAACTAATATAAGTTACAGTAAGCACCTTACAGCAAGCTCTCTCTCCACAAAACTTCAGTCCTGCTTCAAAAACTACCAATGCACACAGATAACCTCAGCCTGCTATGCACTGTGGTTTACTGCTCAACTTCTGCTGAAAAGGGTATCAGCTCTGCAGACACTTTCTGTGCGCCTCACACAGGTCACAGGACTACTCATTGCAACATCAACATGCTTAAAACTTCACAGCTCTTTACTGTAAAGTTTTAGAATTTAAATAAAAGCTTGACATAATGCATGCTAAGCAATGCACTTATGTGCTTTTCTTACTCTTTTCTTGCAACTCCTTTTCATAATCTTTCCTCTCCCACACAGAATTCTAGCCCACTCCTTCTTACAGCAGATCACTGCTGTTTTGTCCAGTGTCGCTCAGCACTGGAAGAAATTGAAGGCTGGCAAGTGACAACTCTTTTTTTTTTTTTTTTTTACTTGACTAAATTGTACACATACTTCTTTCTGACATTTAATAAGGAAGAATTATAGGAGATTTCTGAGCTTTTAGATAATCCACTTTTTTTCCCAGGCTTTTTTCTCATTTTCATAATTTTATATATCACCTCCAAGATATCTTCAAATGCCCTCTTATAAACCTTCTGATATCTCTCATACTGCCTGCACCAAACGAATACCTTTTTCTTCTACCTCAAGATGTGTTTTCATTTCTAAATTATATTCAAAGTAAGCAGTAATATCCTGCTGTTTAACCTGTTTTATCTCAAATTTTTCAGACATATTCAATGTTTAGAATAACCATCCTATTTTTACTGGTTTTTAAGAGGAAAATAGCTTCCTGATCTAATGTAGGAAATCTAATGCCAGTAACCCACTAATAATACTGAGAGCTAGTACAAGAAACAAAACAGAGCCAGTGTAATTTCAGTCAACAGTAAATCAAGCATACAAATAAAAACATTTTAATTTCTATATCTGGAAAACTATTTGATCTAGGAGTAGCTTTCTTAATTCTTTGGTGCATAATATCTTGAGTAAGACTACAAATACAGTAATTCATTGGTTTCCCAAAACAGTATGCCCTTTGCATTCGCATCAGTTATAGACAGGTACAAAGTATTTTCCCATAACTTTCTTCTGTACTGGAAATACAAAGCATTGCCTCATGATTTCTTGCTGCTGTGCTGAAGCTTACTTACCGCTTCAGAATTATCAATGAAAGGGTCCGTCTCGTCGTAGCCGTAACCTATATCGATCAGATCCTGCAGGCGATCTTTCCGATGTTTGTGGGGCTTGCCACCCTGAAGACAAAGCAAGTGTTACATCACTTAGGAAACAAGAAAGCAATGTACTAAAACCTATAAAACATAAGGCATTGTAGGAATAGTAATTCAATGAATTAGCAGTTTTGCTTTCTCAAATGCTTCCTTGAAGACGGTCTAGACGACTAATGAAAATTTCCACACAGATGCATTCTGGCAAATGTGCCTCACCAGAATCATCCCTGAAAGGCAGTCACTAGCTACTTTTTTCTGCAAGACCAAGATCTTCCTATCATTTCCTATTTAGAGATGTTTTCCTGTACTATGATTTTAAAGTATAGTGATTGGACTGCTAATGATAGAAGGGCTGGGATAGTTTAGAAAGTGTTGAGTTTTTCAGTATGTCACAGTGTCATTACAAATGAAAATAATGATAGCCTAGAGTTCATTAAAGTGTTTCCCTACACAAGATGGATTAATTCTCTGTAGTACATAAAAAGTTGAATCTTAAAACATAAAATGTTACTTGAAATATTACTCAAAACCATAAACTGCATCAAAAACTATGGATGGGTTCACTTATCTCCAGGAGACAGTAAAATTAATTTTAATCTGCCAGTATTCTTTTCATGTGGAAATTTCATTGTTAAGTCAAGTAAAGACTCGCAGCCAGCTCAAATATTCAGGCAATCTAAACTTAAAGTTACACAAAAATCTTCTTAGGATCTAAGACCTAGTTTCCTACTTTTCTAGCTCACATATATTGTCAAAATCATCAATAAAAGTATTAAAAGATAAAATTCTTGAAAAAGCACTACCCTCATTACAATGGTAACTTTCATGAATTCAAGACTTGCTCCTGAAACTTCTCTGCCTGCACCCTACAGTTCTGAGCATTCTTAGAGCAAGTCAGTCTTTCTAGCTGTGACATCCAAGTATCACAGTCCACTAGTTACTATGAGAATGCAGACACTGTTCAAAGGCAGTTTCACCCCTGCTCTTTTATGAGAGGTGTAGGCGTCTCAACACCACCATTTTAACAACATTTTGAGAACATACAAGTTTGTGACAAAGTAAAGCATGTGCTCTTGCAAGCAAACAGGAATCTCTCACATATACTTAAATAAACAAATGCAATAGTCCTAGGAGAAAAACCTCAAAAGTAAATTCAGCTTCTAATTCACATTTCCAAGTTACATTTGAAGCTAAGTATTCCTATCAGTCCTTTAATCTCCTACAATCACTCATCTGGAAATAGATCTCAATGACTGCGCATTTCCAAAACATGTGGTACTTAAAAAAAAAACAACAAAGTTTGCATGAGATGGATGAGAGAAGAAAAAGTAAGTTAGAAAAGGCAGCACTTAAGAATTCTGATTAAACTCCAGTGCAAAAGCTTATATAATTCATGATTCTGACTTAGGTGTCAGCAGGCTAAGAATGCTTCATAAACCATACCTCACCTGTACTGATCTTACTAATGTGTAATGCAATCCATCTTTGTACTACATATATCTTGCTAGTAACCATCAACATTCTTGTTTGCCAGTCTAAAATCTTTTTGCAGCAATAGTTATCCTCTGATTCTATGATTTCAGTATAATAAAAGGGCAATAAATTTTTTTTTTAAATTTCCAATACATTCTGACTACCTGATAGTCAGAAAACCAGATATGGAACAAAAGTAGCAACAAAAGTCTTATAATAGCTGAATGAACAAAAGCAGTCTTAAAATAGTACCTGTACTCAGACATATGAAAATATCTGAAAATATACACACACAACACTGTGTGTATAATTAAGAGATTTTCCCTCAGGCCTGGCTCTAACCAGTTCTGTTTAAGGAACTGTGTTGAGATTTCATATGATCACGATGTTAAAGATGCAAGAGTACAGCAGAAGAATGAAGGGATTATCTGTGTCAGTATCCACCATGCAGCACCTCAGGGAAATTTTATGACTGCAGCTTTCCTCCAACCTTTTTGTCCCAGAACATAAGTAGTCACAATACTAGAGCACATTAAGGAGCCTAGTTCCTGAAGCTGCAAATACTACTCATGCAAGTATCCAAAAAAGCCAAAGATGACTTTAAGATATTAACTGTGTCATTCAACCTTGCATTTAAACAACCTTTGCTCACCAGGACTAAAAGGTAGGTGGCAAATAAAATGCCAATACCTGAAGAATCTTGAAGAGAAGAATCTATAAACCAATAAACCTGATCTTTATGGTGGATAAGTTAATAAAAGCTATAAACAACAGAATCAGCAGGCACAAGAATATACAGAGCAAGAAGAAATGTTGGTAGAAGAAAGTATTTGAAATTCTTTTAAAATGTTCCAAACATCTTTAAAAACAAGAAACTGTCATGAAATAAGGAAGATCCACTTAAACTGATGTCTGATCTACAGCTAGGAAAGAAAAGGTAAGAATAGGTATCTCATTCTGGCAAAGAGTGACCAGCAAAATTATTATGGAGAGCAGGTAAAGAGCTGGGGAAGGACAGGGGTCTAAGATGACAATTCATTGAGGGAAGTAAAGGAAAAAGAAAACAACTGAAGAATCACTGAAAGATCTTACAGTTGCTCTGAAATTAGTATGATAAATAGGCAGTTAAATTCAGCATCAATAGAGCAAGGTAATCCACATAAACTAAGTACAACCTAACCAAAAAGAAAAAAAAAACAAAAAAAACCAGCATGTTGCAAATTTGTTATGCTGCTCAGGTGCTCAGGAACCAGTGGAGTTGTTAGGCACAGTTCAGACATCTGCTTAATCAAGAATGGTCCAAAAAAAAAAAAAAAAAGAGTTGGGACTTATTAAAAAAAAAAGGAACAGAGAACCACACCAGAAGTCATCATTATAACACTGACAAATCAGGGCATCATACCATTAATATCCTTTCATTAAAAAAAAACTATTAGAACAAAAAAGAGAACAGTAAGCCAACAAATATGTTTAAATGTAAGAAACACCACTTCCATACAATAACAATGTTAAGACACTACAGCTGGAGAACTAAAGGGCTGGATTTAGATGATAACGTCAAAATTGCATGCAATGTGCAGAAGAACTGGAAGTGTTTCTTTGTTTCTTGCAATACAGAAACTATGGAGCACTATAGGAACTCATCAGGTTTAAACACTGCATTTTTATATGACAGTCAGCATGATACTCCAGTGCTGGGGAACACAAATACGGTAACGATGTGGTAGATTCCAGGCAGAAAGCTTTAAAAAGATTAAACATGTGACTTTTGGCTTTGAGAGAAATTAAGATACAACAGAGACTGCCAGACAGGCACAGTGAAGTAATATCAATGAACACTTGCTCTATTATACTTTCAAGGATGGGGTTCCACTAGTGTCAGAGACTATGGTACCATCCATTAGATGGATCTTCGTTTTGATCCAAGTTCTTACATATGTACAATATTGTCCAAGGTTCAGTATCATGTGCTCACAATAGCGTTTGATTTTATCTAGAGAGTAACAGCAATCAAAACAATGAAATTGGGAACCCTTCAGAGCAGATTTTTTATGCTGATGTTTAGTATGTGCAGCAATTACAGAAGAGTTCTGAATAATCAAGTAAACAAATGGTATGTTATGCATTTCATTTTACGAAAATATACTTTTTCATAGGTTTTCCTTAGTATCTGCAAAATATATCAAAGAGTGTACTGATTCAGTTATGAGTACAGAAATTTATCTGAGAAGAAGTAAAAAGTCTTGTTCAAGGCAGACCGTTCTTCATGCATCAAATTTTCCAGAAGTACGGCCACATGTTACGATTAAAACCAACATTTGACTATTTTAAACAGATACCTTAAATAAGTCATACCTAATTAAAGGAGGATATAGTACTTCCTGCAAGCCTTTTGCAGGAAGAAAAAAAAAACCTTTTTTTTCCTCATACAACCACTGATTACAGTTACTGCAAAGCACTGTTATGGAGTGTTACAGTGTAACTCCAGCTAAGAATAGTATCCTGCAGCTGGTCATTCACTTGAGGAGAAAGGGTATCGACCACACTGGATCCCTGCTCCACTTCAAGCTATGCAGTGAATGTGTCACCACAAGAGGCAGAACATGACTGGATGCTGTCAGAATATGAGCAATTGTACTGGGTCAGCGTTCAGAGATGTGATTCTTCTGAGCACGCATGGCAAGTAGAGACTAATGGTTCTTATACTGGAAGAGAAAGGATAGGGAGTTTCTAACACAAGGAATCTTAATCCCTCATCACCCTTCATGCTTAGTGGTCCTAACCTAGTAAGTGGTTCTTTATATAGAAGGCAAGTGCATCTTCACACAAATTTAAACTGTTGAAAATTGCAATTTTTTGTTACCTACTGCTTTCTAATGGCTAAAAGCATCTATTCACCCCTTTCTGTGACCACTGAACATTGAACTGTGGTTTTCTTAAGTCTAGTAGCATTTTTTGTCCATAAATGTACAGGTTCAGCTTTGATGGATGCATAAACATATATGTAAAATTAGACTGCTTCCACTACCACTCCCTCCTACATATATTGCTTTACATACTTCCACTGACTTTCATCAACTGTAGTTAAGCAACTTCTTTCAGACATTATAAAATCCTTAACACTTTAATAGCAGAAATGAGTTTTCTAAAATAGTGTGATTGAAACATTTTGCTCTCACATTCAAAAAATTATCTCTAATTCAAATTAAAAGCAAACAGCATTTTGGAACAGCCTTCTCAATTCATATTGGATTCTCTCAATCTCTACAAAAGATGAGAATGATTATTTTCAGTTTAAGAGTTGATTTCATTATGTATCACAGCTAACATACCTTGAAATAATACATAGACTGAGCACTTGGAAAAATCTGCCCTTGCCAGAAAAAAAAAACCAAAAACACAACAAGTCAGACAAAAAAGATTTTAATATGTACATTAATAGCAGAAGATATAAATGACTGCTCTTGTTTTCCTTCTTTATTATTGAGGTGTTCTATTAGTAATCCAGAATATCAACATGCCTCAGCATGATGATGAGCTCTGATTGCCAGCTCAGACTTAATCACCCAACCCTACCCGTATGAATTCCTAAAGACCTGTTTGGGTGTGGTTTTTGTCAACATTTTCTGATTTCTACCTTCATTTACTAGTGAAAGGCTCTTTATGTTGCTAGCTAGTGTTGTTAAAGTCACTCACACTACAGTTTCAGAAGCCAGTAGAGTATCTTTAGGCAATTGGCAGCTACCAGACATTCATTGAGCAATGATTTACTATTTAACAAATAACTTCCTGTGGAAACATCCCAACTAGTCAGGACATCGAGATTCATCAGTATTTAGCCCAAAGTGAAGACCTGTTCAATGGTGCACAATAGCATTACATAAAAATTGCTTCCTCCAGCACACCATGGAGTATGAATATTGACCTGCATCTATTTCCAAGATTACCAAGACTATTCTTTTCCAAGAATAGCTTCGCAAGCTATAACATCTATAGACAAATCTATTTAGCAGACTTGTCTGATAGGCTTGTGGCAGCTTCAGGGTACTTAAATGAAATACTGTGAGACAGTCATCACTGAAATGTACAGAAGTCATTTGACACTACATTAGCAATCCCATTCAGGAAAAAAAAAAAACCAACAACATCATCTGTTATCACTATTAAATATTTGTATTTTTAACAAAGTGCAGGAACTCACATATTTTGCCTCAAACTTCTTGGCAAGCATTTCTACTTCATGTCGTTCACGTTGTTCATCATTATATGGATCCTCTAAATGAACCGATTTCTTCTGAAAAATGCAAAAGTTACATGTTCATTCCATAAGAAACAGAGTGCATCTCAAAACCTATTAAATGTCAAAAAACAATACTATGATGACTATAATCTCTAAAAATTACTTTGATCATTGAATTACCATCTAGCTACTTTTCTTCTGATGACAACAAAACCAGAAGAATTAAGATAAATACTCAGATTTGTATTTTCCCAAGCATCCCACAACAACCTCAACTAAAAGTCTAAGCATAAGAGAGAATTATGGCCATTTGAGGTTAGAAGAAACTCTCTCTAATCACAACTCCTTTTCACCTCTGCTTCCACTCGCTGGCCCCTCTAACAGCTGTTATGATTCTTCTAGATACAACAGACAGGATGTACATGGTATGTTAACCAGGAAGGAAGCAGCCAGACTAAAAAGCTCAGTAAATTATAACCATAATTAAAATAAGTCTTTTATTTAAAGAAAAAAATTACAGTGCAAGAGTTAATTTCAGTACTCATAACTACGTTAACCACAAAAGAGACTTAATATTCCAGCTATACATACAAGGAGGGAGTAGCCCCTTACTTTTTTTGCTGTTTTTTAGAAAAGTGGTTTTCACCGAGATAAAGTCAATGAACAGGGTATACATAGTGCTTTTGCTTTTTTCACTAAGTGATGGCAGGAAAACAGGGCTGCCCTCCTTCAAACTGGAGTTCACATAAATACAGTAATTGCCAGAAAGGGGAAGGTATTAGGATGCTAAAACACGATGGAATGGAATTCCATTTTTCAGCACTTTATGGATGGCAACTAATTTTACTGCACATGGACTACTCACCAATGAATAAATGAAGATTTATGAAGAATAAAAAAAACTTAGCTCAGAAAAGCATGATCCTTCCTCCAGAATATAAAAAGCCAATATATTGACTAAATGATGACCAAACCAGCTCATTAGCATCAAGACCAATGTAATGAGGAAAGTAAGCTAAGCAAAACTGCAAACACCACATAATTATAATACATTTTCCAGACTGAGTATTTGCAGAAAAAATTAATAGAGGCTATAATTACTCCTAAAACATAAATTAAAGCCACTTACTTATTTCCTGCAGGCATAATTAAATATAAAATACTGCTCAATTCATGAAACACCATTTTCTCTACTTTTAGCAGGGAAAAGGTATTCCTCATCTTCTGCTAGGCATATGTGGCTTTTTTTCTAACTGTGAAAGGAGAAAAGGTTGAGCCTAAAGATCAATAAAACTTAGTACTTAAGTGTTAATTTGCCTTTCTCCATCAAACACTCAAAGCCGACTATCAATTTGTTTAGTTAAATGTACTGCAAACTCAAATTCAATCAAATTTTAGTTTTGACTGTTGCTAAGGGATAGATGGCTCTCAAACTAAGATATTACTACTTCAGCACCTTTGGAGCCTGTTCGACAAGCCAACTTGAGCTTCTGGCTCATCCACTTTGACTTGGGTTTTATGCACCAAGCCTCAGTCACCCCAAAAGAAATGGGAGCGCACTTTCACTTCCACCAGCATTTAAGAGGCAAATAAACCCTTCAACTACACACACTTATTACTCACATTCAAAACTTTACATAATTCTTCCCAGAAGATGAACTCTACATACAACCCTATCCAAGGATGTTGTCTTTATCAAGGCAAGAAAGGACAAGGACAGCACAAGTTTTTAAAATAAATATTTCCACTAGCTTCTGATTCAGCATAGGAACCTAATTTTGGAATTTAAAAAAAACACAGAAGTTGCACTGCGAAATCAGTTTTGGGATTCTCTATCACTTCATTATTATATAACCACTATTATCATGGTCTGTTAAAGGCATATTTGAAGTTATGCCTGTGCATCAGTGCTTGCCTTCCTCTGGAGAACTTTTCTTGGTTGCTACAGTTCCAAGAATACTACAAGATAGAAAGACGAGCTCCTGACTTTGTAATGTTAAATTTTATCGGGAAATGTTATAAAAAAGTTGAGCAACTTCTTATAAGGGAGGAGTCAACAATAGCTTTCAGAAAACCAAATCAATCTTCACCCCTACAAAAAATCTGCATAGTAAAGTAACTGAACTGTTAATTTTAAATTAAAACATTACTAAAACAACAAATTTTGAAATCTAAAACTCCACTTAAAAACATAAAATTAACTACCAATTAGTTACTACCTACTTGGAAAAAGCAAATCTCAAGATTTCAAATCTTCCCTAATATTAGAGTAGCTTTTCTAGGTTCTACCATATAACAAGCAAGAAATTTAACTGACAGGCTAAGTATACATCAGGTTTTAAACATGAGTAAAAGTTCAGAATCACTTTAAAAGGATCCTAATTTATGACACTCTTTTACATAGTAAATCACCTGATTATTCCACAACCCAGTAACAGAAGTGCCATTATGATCCATTCATTTTAATTTGGACTCTATAGGGCTGAAAAATATACAAAGTTTCTTATAAAGCATTACTATCACTGTCTCTACTATAAAAGCAGTTTCTGATCTCAGTTGTACCAAAATTCCTTAAATCAATGCTCTCCCACCCCCAGAAGACATGGAATTTGCATCAGAACTACATCAGAAAGAGCCCGTTTTCCCCGAGTATGTGATTAAGATATTGGCAACCTTCAGAATAAAAGGCAGTTATGGAACTGGGAGCCGCCAAAGGGAAAAGTCAGCCTTCAAGTACTGAACCACTTCTAAACACTAACACAATTTTCACCTTCACGGAACTGCTCAGAAAGATCGCACTTCAGAGAGAAGCATGATTATGCTACACTAATTCTGAGGAGTCAAAACTGGCACTGTTTGCCCACAACAGCTGTAGGACAGGATGAACAGAAGGAACTTTTTAACTTGCATGACAAGATCTGAGGGATTAAAATCAGCCACTGATTTTTCTGCCTTCCACATTTGAACACAATCCAGTGTGTATATCTCTCCTACAGCAGAAAAAGTGAGCAGCCTGCTAAGTATAGTTACAGCGCCGTCATCGCCTAGAAACGCTTTGGTTCAGAAGAAAAGTTTCAACCGTATTCAAGTTTGTGCTGGATATAAAAAATTCTATGGCAGTACCAGTACTGGTATTTGATACTTGCTTTTATCACCAGATCTACCACAACCTTCTAAGTAGTAGTTACTCACTTGCCCTCTGCCTCTTCCAGCAAGAGACAAGCTTTCTCTAAAACTGTGTACTGGATTAAAGAGAAGCCACAACTATTTAAATCAAGTACAACTTCGGTCAACTAAGAATGAGCAGCTCAAGTGTAACAGGCTTAAGGACATGCGTCTCTCCTTCCTACTTGGAAGAGTGGGCCCTGTTGATTGACTAACGCTGCTAAAGTTGTCTGCAGGAGTTTTAGCCTTAAAGAAACAAGGTAATTCAAGCATCAAACACTTTCTGCTTAGGAGAAATAAGCAAAGAAAGAACACTTTGGTTTTTTCCCTTGAATTAAGTTCTCAACACTTACAGGTGTGGTTACCGGTTCAACATTAACTCTCATTTATCGCTGTCCCCTCCAAGACTACAAAAACTCCTCTCCAAGTCTGCTAATGATCATGTACTGCTTGTCGAGGCTTATAGTAGAGCCGGGCTTTCTTTATTTACCTGCACACAGCCTAGGGACAACCCGGAATACAGACCGGCGTGCTCAGTTTCGTCCAGCTGCCGGCAAAGGTCTCCCAGGACGGGAGGATGAAACACCTCTCCGGGCAGGGAAGGGGAACGGCAGGGAGGTGAGCCGGGGTAAACGGGACACAAGACAGTGTAACTCCTCCGCCACAGCCTGCAGCAAAGGCCAGGAGCCCTTGGGTAGCTCAGGAACAAGTGGGAAGCCTCCCCTTCCCCCCACGGGCACAGGCGCAGCCTCAGCACCAGGAGGAGCCCGAAGCGACAGCAAGGCAGCCGGACTTCCCTCCAGGACGCTGCCCCTCCCGCCGTACCGGGACCACCCTGGAGTAGCAAGGGGTAACAGATAACACTATCGGCAAGGTCGGGGCCGCCGGCAGCCCAGAGGAGGAGGAAGCGCGGCGGGGCCCGTGCCGGCGGGAGGAGAGGGAAGAAGGGGAAGGGGAGGTCCCGTACCCGCGAGTCCCCGCACAGCAGCAGCTCCGGGTAGCTGAACTCCACGCAGCCCTCCTCGGTGGGGTCCTTCAGCACCACCTCCAGGCGGACCGTCTGGCGGAGCGGGAGCGCCTCCCGCGGCGGCGGCGGCTCCTGCCGCCCGCTCTGGCGCGGCGGTGGCGGCAGCGGCGGCGGCTCGGGCCGTGGGGGCTCCCGCTGCGGTGGCTGCTCGGGCCGGCCGGGGTCGCGGGGCGGCTCCGGGCGGGCAGCGCTGTCGCTGGGCGGCTCGTGCGGCGGCGGTTCCGGCGGTGGCGCCTCACGGCCCGCCGGAGGTGGCTCCGGGTCGCGGCCCGCCGGCTCTCGCTCCAGCGCCGGGCTCTCGCCCTCGCGGCGCCGCACGGGTGACAGGCTAATGAACGGCACCCGGCGCGGCTCCGCCATCCTCCGCTGCCACCCCCCCCCCCCTCCCCGCCCGCCGTCCGCCGGCCCCCGCCTCACACGTTCGGTGACACCGCTCTCCGCGCTCCCTCCCACCGGCCCCGGCTCCTCCCTCTCCCTCCTCCTCGCTCCGCCGCCCGGTCGGAGCTACCCCTACGTTCTCCTCGCCGCCCCCGCCATCTTGGCGCCCCCCCACATAAATAGAGCAGCCCCGCAGCCCGCGCAGGCGCAGCCTAGCCCGTGTCGCTGCTGTTATTGCTCAGCTTCCCCCGGACGTCAGCGCGGCCGCCGCCGCCCACGCGCCACGGGCGCCGGGCCCGCCCCCGGTTGCCGGGGCGATGCGCACGCCGCGACCGCCGACCGCCGCCGCCTGCAGCCGCGGGGACTGCGCAGCGCTGTCCTCCAAGGGCAGCGCGGGCAGGCTGCGGGGCCGCGGGCCCGCTGACGGGAAGGTCCGCTCAGGTCCTTAGAAGCCGGCTGCGGGTCAGTCACCAGAGAAAAGCCACCCGTGCGGGGAGAGCGGCCGTTCCCAGCCTGAACGGCGCGGACGCCCCGTGTCTCGGTAGCATCAGCCCACGCCGAGTGGAACAGCAGAGGACGTCGGGGTTTTACAAAACCGTGCCTATGGCGGTGTTGATCGCAGCTTGTTCCTACAGAAAAGCAGCCGCTGCCCGGGGTGCCGGTCTGCCCTCGGCGGCAGGGAGCTTGTTCAGCGGCCATGCCTGATCTGTAGAGCACCAGCTCTGGCTGCAGGCAGCAGTTGTGTCTTGTTGGGAAAGAGCTGTTGGAGAGAGAGAGGAGACGACGCGAGGAAGGCAGGGTTTGAGCAACAGCGAGACTTCCCTCAAGAGCAGGAGCCGCCTGCAAATACTGCAAGTGTTTCAGTCTGTCACCACCTACTTTGACAGACTGATGGCTGGTATTTCCAGCTGGAGGTATGCCACCAAGGCAATATGAAGTTTCAGGAAGCTTATGAACATCATGAGTATTGTATCCTCTAGCTTCATGGGAGCAGTGAAAAAGACATTACCATTTTGGGGGCATTTTTTAGTCACGGAAATAGTAGGTAGAAGTGGGTCTATTATCTTTTTTTAAAAAGTACTCATGCAAAGCAAACAATTTACAGCTATTATTTTGCATAATGATAAAAGACTATTCTGTGCATCACATTACTCCACTTTTCAAACTACATCCATCACTGTGCTTGATGTTTCCCTGTCATTGCACAGGAAGCCTTTTGACTTGACCTTTTAATTTCATCTAGGCTCCAGAGAAGATTCGTGACACTAGAACAGTGTTACTGAAAGTTATCATAACAGGGAATGGAGGGCATCCCAGAATACTGCTTGCAGTGGCAAGTCACTGGAATGACTGACCCAATCTGAGAAATGTAAACTTTCGTTTTGAGGCTTGAAACTTTGTTGAGCTTTACAGTCTAAAGGACTTGTTTTATCTTGAAGCCTTGCATGTTGTGGTGCGACTAGCAAGCTTAGTAGAGGTGGATGTATTCCTCAAATATGTTTGGGCTTTCAGCATCATAACAACATAATTTGGTAGTTGCACTTGTTCTCTGTTGAGAATTTCATACAGCTATCAGCTGATGCACAAAATAGAAAATGCATTTCTAGATTCAAACTGATTGAGCATCCCTAAGCTCCAGACCTGTGGAACCTGCCAGGAAGATTCTGATTCTCATCAAAGTTTCTGTGTCATCTATGCCATGAAATCCTGTGATGGTAAAAAGGGGCCTTTCCTCAGAAAAAGAGCAGTTTATTGCATATCAAACAGAAATCTTATGTGAAAGTCACAGGCTTTTCTGCAGCTCTGTTGAACCTTGTTTTCAATTACCAAATGGGAGACTAGACCTTGAAATAAGTACAAGAAGAATACAACAGGTAGTTTGTTCACAGACAATACTTGAAGATATCCATGGAAAGTGATAAACTAAGTATTTTAAGTATCTAATGTAAAACTCCATTCTGTCTTTCAGTCTCCTAACTAAAATATAGGGAACTATATTCAGAAGTAATCAATGTAGGGCATGCCAGAAGAAAATTAGTTCTACGAGTATCTGAATCCACTGCTTCATATTGTCTTGTAGTGTAGATATACGTGGAACCACATCTTGGTCAGATTTTTACATGCTTTTAAAGTAGGAAACAAAAAGCTGGAAAGAAACAATCATCATTCAACTCATGGCAGGGTTACAGAGAAAACCAGAAGTAGTTCTTGGAAATAGTTTCAGGTGACCATTTGTTCTGAAATTGCCAACCTTGGTATTAAAAGCAGCCTTTCATATGTAAGGTTACTATGAAATAGTAATTTATATGTCCCCTCTTTCTTTCTCCTAGGAGTTTAATTAGACAAGTAAACCCTCGTATTTCTGTATTATCTAACCTCTAAGCATCTTAGCATGCACATAACATTTTTATAAGGCTTAGTATATGTTTATGCAACTAGACAAACAGCAGTTCTGGATGTCTGCATTTTAAGTGAAGTCATTAAAAACAGTTTGCTCTGAGTACCTGAACTAAATCAAAAAGAACCTTGGCAGCAGATTTAAGCATAGTAGTTACTGGAATATGTTGGTCTAAGATACTAGAACAACTCAGAAAAGAAAACAACCAAATTGACTAGATTATAAGCTCTCAAGGAATTTGGTTTTGAATACACCAGAAGAGTTCCAGGTTTGTACAATTTCAATTTGTAATTTATCCACACTATTTATTCTGTTTTGATACCTGTTTTGTTCTTTGTCATTAAGCTCCATCTCAGGTATTGTCTGTATATAGTATAATGTCCTGCCCTTGTCAGTGCAACACAAAATTTAACAAGTATCATTTTTAAAAAGTAATTGGAGATGTGCTTCCAATTATCTTGCTTTCTCTCAGGATATGGCCATGCTAAAATAGTCCAACATTGAATACAGATTGCTTCTCTTTGTATGTTAACTGAAGGACACAGAGATGCACATTAAGAGTTTAAAAAAATTTAACAACTACACAAAGAGAGTAATTTTTAGGTGATAGTGAAACTGCTTTTTATTTCACTGGTGAAAACCAGTATGAGAAGATAAAGTGGATGCTTGGAACTACAGATGGTACAGCCACATCAGTGAGTGGCAGTTTGTTGACCTGACTCAGTTTCAAATACAGAAAACAGAGACAGACCTGCAAACTGCAGAGGCCTCTACTTTGATGCAGGTGGAATCCTCCTGCTCTGCTTTGGACTGGCTTCTCTGTAGCACTCTCATGCTTTTGGGCTGTTTGTGTTGGTTGTGGTAGAGTACCATGTTTCATTACAAACCGGTGGTCACTGCTGTCCTGGACCTCATGGAACCCCTTGGGTGGCTTCCTCTGGGCTGGACACCCCACAGCAGCAGGCCCAGGGTCCCAGCAGAAAGCAGGACTCCTTATCATCAGTTATATTTGTCTCCAGAAAGCTTGTATTCAGCTTCAAAGGCTATTCCTTTACTTCTGTGAGCTATGAGCCTCTTGCCTTTGGATGGGAATGCAGGAGAAAACATGTTCTGCTTGTATAATAATAGTACAGAATAAGCTTAGGTGGCATGGCAGTTTATTCTTTCCTTTCCTTAAGGTGAACACTGGGATCTACAGTAGAGGTAGGAGCTGTAGTGGCAGCCAGCTCATACCAGTGGCAGTCACATCTCCATTGCTCAGAAGTCTTCAAGACACAGAGAGAATATCCTCATTGACCATCAGCTGCTTCCTCACTATATCCTTGGTTTCTTATGGTCCAACCACACATCTTGTTGATCGTTGTGGTCTTTTCACTGGAACTGCTGTCACAGCAGCTGCAGCTTCCATTTCTGTGTCAGATGATACAGCTGCAGGTAGATTGGTGTTTATGAGCTTTTACTAGAACTGCTGCTGCATCACAAGAATCCACTGCACCAACAACATGGCTAGCATTGCTGGTTTTCTGTTTAATAAGGATTTCTGAATTCCAGTGTGCTTTTTTTTTTCTTTTAACTTCTCTTTTCTCTTACAGCGTTACTAAACTGCTCTCTGTTAGACCCAGAATCAAGAAATAAACCACCTGCTTTCTTTCCAAAATGAACACCAATTCCTTTCATAGCATTTAGAAAACTGATTCCTCCCCTGCGGTATGCTCTCTTTCCCCCCCTTTGTCCCAGCTAGCTCCAAGGGGAAAGGGGAGCGCGGGCAGCTTCCGTTCTTCCCGCCGTGCCCTCTTATACATAATACAAATGTGGTAAAACATATAATAACACAACTCCACATCTCCCTCTTCTATTTTTTAAAAAGAAAAGAACGGAAAATAACTTAAACGGGAGATTTGCAGTCCTGTTCCCCATCGTTGAACCCGATATCCTCTGGGTGTTCTTTTTGGTTCTTTTCTGGCTGTTTGCGTTGAGCGGTGTCAGCTCTGATGGGGCGGTGAAGACGGCATGGTCGATATGCATGGTGGAGTTGATGACCTTTAAACCTTTTAACATTGCTAAAACTTATAATAAGAACAATGAGTGTTAACAGCAACATAAGTCCCGTTTCTGAAATGGATTGGATTCAACCTGTGAGACTTCATCCTTCAAAGCGAGGGATGAAGCTTACATCTGAAAAACAACTGGAACATTAATCAGCATTCTAGGGAGGGGAGGTCTAAATCAAAGGGGAAGAGTGAGTCTAGGGAACTGGATGGTGAAAGGGAAGACTCTGAGAGAGAAAGTGTTGAATCGAAAAGGAAAGGAGGAGACTTTCTCTGTCTGCGGAGGGCTGCATGCCTCACCTGAGGATCCTTTTTCTTGTCAGTCTGGTGTTTGGGGACATATGGCCGGACAAATTTGGACGGGACCCATCTCAGGCCTGAGGGCGTGGACACGCAAGCGTACCCTGTCCCCAGGTGACTAACTCATGGGGCCCTTCCAGCTGCCAAGTCTCCGGATTTTTGATGAGCACTGGCGGTTTTTCCCTGACCTTGCTCTGCTCGTGGTTGCCAAAGTGCCTGGTGATTGGTGGGTTGAGGTTTTCAAAAGAACAA